TTCACAAAAGCACTACCAAGACCAAAATTTTAACAGTTATGCACAATGCTTGGAGTTACAGAAATTTGCATCAAGAAGGAATATTAGAAATTGATACAAATTTCTAGAATAGTCTAAAAAAATACTATGAACAATCTAGAAAAAACCATTTACATCTTCTATTTTGCAGATACTTCTAGAGAGAGTTCTAGAATATTGTAAATCTTCAAGATTCTAGATAATTCTAGTATATTAAACCATTCAAACCTAATGGTGGATAATGCCTATAAATAGGTATGCTACCTCATTGTAAACATGAAGAATAAGTAATTAAGACATCAATTCTCTATCTCTTGAGTCTCTTACTAAAACTTCTTCAACTACCAATTTTAATTATTCCTACTAACATTTTAATTATCTTATTCATCTCACCTACACCAAAAACTATCATCGCCCAATAACCTAAATCTTTTCATGCAGCAAAATTTTGACACCACTGAATTGTGGTTTAATTTAAACTTACAATGCTCAAAATGTCGTCATCTTCATGTGATCGATAATAACTTGAGTTCTTCTTGCCATGAATGATCTCCAAAACCAAGACTCCAAAGCTAAACACATCGGATTTCACAGAGTATTTTCCATGCATTGCATATTCTGGAGACATGTAACCACTGAAACAAAAAAAATATCAATATGTATGTTCCAGTAAAATAACATGAAAGATTTTTGAAGGCAGAAAAAAAGGAAAAATAACATAAAGTTTGCTAGAAATTAAACTACTTCTCTGCTAAGGAGCTGGTGATACAATTTACATTTGTTGGCCTTCAACTTACTATGTTCCAACTATCCTTCTTGTTGCTGCATTTACTTGACTTTGATCATTAGGGGAAATCTTTGCCAAGCCAAAATCTGAAATCTTTGGATTCATGTTCGCATCCAATAGAACATTACTAGCCTTGAGATCGCGATGTATTATTCTTAGTCTAGAATCTTCATGGAGATACTTCATTCCTCGAGCTAGTCCAACTATAATTTTGTAACGTCTTGCCCAGTCTAGCTCTTCTTCGTTCTCATGATCTACAAATTAGTCAAATTGTATGATTGAAGTTAGCGATGAATTGAGTTTCGAAGAAGAATTAATTAGTCCATATAACAAGTTAATGAAATTAAAAAATTACAAACCAAATAGAAAGTTGTCAAGGCTGGAATTTGGTATGAATTCATAAACAAGTATCCTCTCCTTTCTCTCCAAGCAAAATCCTAACAGCCTAACTAAATTTCTATGTTGAAGCTGTGCAACAAGTGAAGCCTCGTTCTTGAATTCCAAGTCACCCTGCCGGGAACTTCTTGATAGCCTCTTCACAGCTATCTCTTGTCCATTCTGAAGGGTACCCTGAAAGCATGCTTGTGATTAGAAAGTTCCAGTCAACATAAATTTATTAAGAATATTTTAATTCATACCTTATAAACCTCACCAAATCCACCTTCGCCTATTTTATTTTCATCTGAGAATCCATTTGTGACAGCTTCTATTGTAGCCAAGTCAAAACGCAAAGACTCATCTTCACACATAAAATAACTCGTAGCTGCTGTTTAAAAGAAAGAAAGTAGACAACTTCATGTGATTGACAAAATTGCTAGCACATTGTGAAGCTTTGAAATTGAAAAATAATTAGAGCAATAATAGTTTCTATTTTTATTCAAAAAAGTTAAAATTATTAATGCTACCATTCAGGACCGCATCATGGTTTTTGTTTCGCCTTCTTCGCCACCAACAGCAGCCTAGAACCAATAGCGCCACCAAAATAGCAATTGGGACAAGAATTGCTACAATCGTCGATATACTTTTGCTTCCTGCCCAAGGGAGCTCTTTTAAAATACCATAAGTGACTGACTAATAATGCTTAAAGTGGACACAGAAAGGAACCAACTTCCTCCTCAAAAACTCTCTCAATCAACGTTTACTTTGACAATAAAATTGGTGAAAACTAAGTTTCGTAAAAAGTGTATATATGCTTAATGCATACCCGAAGATGGGGAAGGAACACCTGGCATCTCTGAAGTGGTATTATACAAAAAAGGATACAATTGATATCTGATATGACATGCCGGAAACATATAGTCTGCTCCTGCACTGTACATGGGAAGACTTCGAATAGCGGTGTGTACGCAATTGGCACATCCTTCTCTTGTTAACTCGGGCACGCACTGTGCCATTCCGTACAGTGTCTGTGTACTCGTGAACTTCTTCTCGCCTGCAGCAAACTTCATCTCCGCCATGGCTGCAGCTTTCTCTGCCAACTCGTTAAATAAGTCAACCAATAACTGATTAGACTTGCTAATGTTCATCTTACTTAGTTCGTACACGAAAACCCCAGTATCGATGTTGTTGTTGAGGGTGGTGTCTGAGTAACGCAACATGCACAAATCGTACCAGATTATGGACTCTTTATCGTCCGGACAGAGGCGTGTTATGTCGATTGTTGCGGTGGCGACGCAGCCGTGGCAGAGGGTGGCGTTGACGTCGCCACGGCAGAGGAAAAGACCGTTCACGACGTCAGGGGTGTTTTGACCAATGATGGTTGTGTAGAAACCGTTGTTTGACTGAAGTGAGGAGTTGGAGATGAGAGAAGAGAGGAGGGTATTTAAGTTGGATTGAAATGTTGTGTTGGGTTGGTAAAAAGTTTGGTTTTTGCATCGATGGGTAGTGTAAGTGGGTGCTGATTCACTTGCGTGGATGAGCAAAAGAAACAAAGGGAAAAGTGCTAATGGGGTTATAGAGAAGCTGATGATAAGCATGTTGGGTTGAAGTTGGTGCCTGGTACGCAGTGGGACAGTATGACAAGTACTATGCCTTCTGTTTCGATTTTCTAATTAGGAGTATCTCAAAGTAGATGCTATTATACAATTCCCTTTCTTAATGGTAGATAAGAATGCAGACCATCTTATTTTGGATGGAGGCCTGATAGTTGATGCAATCATTGACAGCCACGTGGTTACTGTGTAGTAAAAGGTGTGCGGTTACTGTGTAGTAAAAGGTGTGCGACTTTGCAGAGAACAAATTTGTTTTCTGAAGGAGTTTGTAGTGGGGATTGAATGATGGGTTAAATAAAACACTTATAATTTTTTTTTTATAAATAAAAAAGCATTTGTCAACTTAGAGATTAATTATTCATGGGAACATATAACTTTTTTTAATGACTGGATAGGTGAAGAGAATGGCTGGCAAGTGGTAACTTTGACTTTGAGAAATATGATGAATTTAGGATAAAACAAAATTGAATGTACTATCGTAAGTATTTTTTATTAAAACTAAATTTTATTTTGTTAATATATACTGACTTTTAATATTAACTTTTATCGTGTCATAAACCATTAAAATAAAATTTTAATTTTACCAAGAAAATAGTATTAAAAAATACGTATTATGATACACCAATTTTTTTTCTTGATATATATTAGTAGCTGAAAGGGGGAGGCAAGGGCAAGGTCAATGGGCATTGCTTCTATTCAGTCATATGAGGGTCTGATTATGTGGTAGGTTGGATATTTTATGTAGAGATTTAGGAAACATTCTTAAGTTGGCCATTATTTTTATTTAAAATAATACATATTTTGAATTTGAACTGAGATTAATTTTAAACGAAAGTAAAAAATATTTTGATTTAAAATATTTAAAATCTGATGTCATTTTGATGTAGTGTAGCGATAGCAGTGGGCAGAAGAGAGAACTAAGCTAAGTAGAAATATTGATTATTGAATTAGGAAGGAAGCTTTCAAGGAAGCAGATGAAGAGAGCCGCAGCCATGTCAAAATATTATCAGACCGAGTCTCCATCTCCTTCTGGCAATAATCCGTATCAAGTTATTGAATCTAATGATTTTCTATCAATTTTGTTTATTAAAAAAATACAAAAAATATTTTATAAAAACCATAAACGTCTTATAAAAAATTATTAATATTTTTACAACGCGTCTTATGAGAAAAATGAAAGAGGTACTATGTAACATCATCATCGGTTGGATATTAAAAGAGCAAGTCTCTCGGGAACTCTTGCACAAAATTTGATGGAGAAATCTTATATTTAAAGGATACCAAGAAAATTGTTATGGTCAAACAAACAATCATTTTAGAAACAGCTACTTAGAAAGAAATGATATAGAAATTCTATTCTTAAAATAATCTTTAAATGACACCAATTGGTTCATATTGAACAAAATCATGTCGAATTCAAATACTTGGGGAATTTCATGACTAATAATGATAATTCATCTTGTGAAACAGCAGCAGATCCATGATATATGTACGAAATGAATATGTTTACTGCTATCTCCCGGGGCTGAATTATGGATCTTGATACCCTGCTACGCCAATGACAAAAGCCCATAATTAATTCAAAACGCAACAAAAACCACTTCGGATACAGAAAAATAGAGACAAATCATTATCATGCACCTAACTTCCTCTCATAATTGTTTGAGCAACGTAACATGCACACATCCAAACATTTATGTATGCCCATTTGTTTTGTTCTATCATCTTTTGCTTTGGACTTGCTGTAAACGTTAATGAACGCGATTGCCGTGCAGAACGCGCCATCACTCGTCACTTTGGCAGTGGCTGTTATGAATCACTACTTATTTTCCTTTCAGATAATCAAATTCCTTGTGTGAATGTAAAAAGAAAGCACAAGCAATAAGCATATCCGAGTTTTGGATTTGTAGATGACAAATTAGGTAGCACCACTTCAAGTGTACATAAAGTTAGAATTTCTTGTGAGTTCGACATTAAAAGTTGCAAAGAAACAAGCAAAAGGTGAGAAATAAGAAATCGAGTTTTCCCATAAGAGAGCAAAAATTTAGTTCCTTGTCAAGATATTCTCCTGAGATTTTGCACCTCAGAGCACCTTTCCCCCACAACAAATTTAAGCTGACCCAAATACTGTAAAATAATTCTCAGGATGCTTGATCAATCAAAATATCATACGTAATAAAAAAAATGAAAATACCATATTCAATGGAAAGTTATTGGCACCAAAAAGGTTTAAAAGGTTCTCTGTTAGCACAGCATAGAGAAGCGAGGGAAATAAAGAAATGGTTGAGGCAACTAGTACCACAAAAATGCACACAAGTCCTCACTCTTGAAACTTCTGGCATGCCCTAGCCTTAGTTAATAAAATGGGACTCTAGGCTGCATAAATTCTTAATCCAGACACATCTGACATTATTATCATAATTTAAATCGATCTATGTTGGAGAACTAGGTACTTGCATTTAGCAGTACAGTACTTGCCAACATAAATGGAAGCAAGAAAAAAGAATCCCTCAGGAAATCAATCCTATGTTTCAAAAACAAAATTGTTCAAGATTGTAAATTATTGTTCTGTTCGCTCTCGGACATCTTTATCTACACTACATATTTACAATGCATATCCGCCAGGCAAGTGTGTAATAGTAACACCATATTTTGACAAGATTTAAATACACATTGGATTGATTCAACACACATGAAAATCAATCCTTTATCGAGGGTATACTTCAGTCATGGACCATGGAAATGAACAGGTGGTAGACTGATCAGAGTCAACCCCTTGCTTTAGTCTGTTTGTAGTTCTTCCGTGCAGGAAAGATGCTGGTTGTCGTGGCATCGACAAGGAAACTGTATAACTGTTTAGCGTAAGTGCAATAGTGGCCAGCGAAGGCCTATCAGATGGATTTTCCTGAACACACAATAAACCAATATGGATGCATCTTATGACTTCATTTCTTGAATAAGAATTTCTCAGTGTTGGATCCAGTAACTCCAAAGGTGTTTGCTCCAGCCAATTCTTCCAAGCCTGTGGCAGTATAATGTTAGTATTTAACTTGGAATATCTCCTTGCTCACCCACTGAAATAGTGTTTATCTAGGCATTGCAGCTAAGCTTGGTATCAGTAGAGCAGAAGACTCATTCATACTCACATAGCTTAAGAGGTCATCAGCATGATTCGTTTGATAAAATTCAGTGTTCTTCTTGCCACTAACAATCTCCAAAACTAAGACACCGAAGCTGAACACATCTGATTTCACAGAAAACTGTCCGTGCATTGCATATTCTGGAGACATATAACCACTGAAAAACAGCAATATAATCCACTTATTTAAAAAAACAATAACATTTTTGGAAAGAAGAACATACTTTTTTTTTTTTGCAGAACTTAACTGACCATGTGTTACGACATAAGCTACTCATATATGTAAGAAGAGATGGAATAAAAAGGCATAAAACATACAAAGTCCCAACTATCCTTTGTGTATTAACGTGAGTCTGATCAGCCCGGAAAATTTTTGCCATGCCAAAATCTGAAATCTTTGGGTTCATATTTTCATCTAATAGAACATTGCTAGCTTTGAGATCACGGTGTATAATTCTAAGCTGAGAATCTTCATGTAAATAAAGAATTCCTCGAGCAATGCCTACTATAATCTTGTAACGTCTTGACCAATCTAACTCTCTTTGCTTTTCGTTATCTACAAATTTTGCCAAAGTGAAATGCCCAGGTTAGCAATGGCAAGGTCACTACAATTTCCATTTATTAAAAAGCATTATTGCAAAGCGATTACCCCCTCCACCTTCGTCGCTTTTTAATAAGATAAAAGATAACACCATGCAAATACTATGAAGTGATTCTACTTTTTAGGTGTCATATCAGTCTGTTCAGGGCAATCAATCATTACATTAATTGCGATGTCAAGAAATAGAAGAGTAGACAAGTTATATACCAAATAGAAAGTGATCAAGGCTTTTGTTTGGGATGTATTCATAGACTAGCAACTTCTCCTGCCCCTCCAGGCAAAATCCAAATAGCCTCACTAAATTTCTATGTTGAAGCTTGGCCACAAGGGCGGCTTCATTCCTGAACTCAACTGCACCCTGCAAGGAAGTTACTGATAGCCTCTTCACAGCTATCTCCTGTCCATTAGGGAGGATACCCTGAAACAAACAAGGAAATAGACCAATTTAACTAATTTAGCATAAAAAGAAATGTATGTCAGTATCAGCATTTAGCATAAACATGTTTTAACGTTTCATACCTTATAAACCACACCAAACCCACCTTGGCCAATCTTGTTCTCATCTGAGAATCTGTTTGTGGCAGCTTCAATTGTAGCCAAGTCAAATTGCAAGGACTCCAAATCAGTAAGATCCTCCCCAACTACACAGCAGAAACACAGCAATCAGCACCCACCAAATTAAAATAAAAAAGGAAACAAATTAACAGGAACAATCACTGTGACAGAAAAAGAGAAATTACTTGAATCCTGGATGAACGTATTGTACTTCTTGATAGCCCTCTTACGTAGGAAGCAGATGCCAACAATGAGAAGTACCACGGCAACAATAACTGGGACAACAATCGCCACAACTATTGATATACTGCTTTTTCCTGCACAGGTTCCCCACTTTCTAAGATTGACAACTTGACAGTGTTATTTATATCGTCCGTTTTTCTAAAACGTGCAAAATTAAACGTAATAAAAAGTTAATAAATAATAATTCTTTATTAAAAGTTGTGATATTAGCAGTATTACTGCATTAAATTATGCAAAGGTTAGAAATTATAAATGTTTGATACCTGAAGATGAAGAGGGAAGGTGTGGTGCAGGGGAAACATTGTAAAATGGGTACAAGTCATATCTGAGATTACAACCAGGAAGCAGGGACCGTGCACCTTGTTTCCCATCACAGCATGATGGAATATCACTGATGGCACTTGTTAGGCACATGTTACAGTCAAAGGTGGACAAATCGGGTGCGCACTGCGCCAGGGTGTAAAGTTTCATTGAGCTCGTGAAATCTGCTTCTTTGGTAGCAAACTTGTTGCCCGAAGCAGAATTCACAGTCTTCTGTGCTAGATCTTTCAACGTGGCAGCGAGAAAATCGGTGAAGCGGGTACGGTCAGAGTCAGGGATGCTCTGTTGGGCGACCAAGTTAACGCTAGGAACTATGTTGTTGAAGAAGGAATTGTTGGTGTAACGAAGCATGCACTGGTCGTACCAGATAATGGACTCTGTTTGGTTGGGGCAGAGGTGCGTGATGTTTTCTGCTGCAGCTGTGACACAGTCTTGACAAACAGAAGGGGTGACGTCACCACGACAGAGGAAGATTCCTTTGACCTCATTGGGGGTTCCGAGGGAGATGTTGGTGAGGAAGAAACCATGGTGGAGGGTGGCGTTGGAGACAAGGGATGCGAGGAGGAGGTTCAAGTTGGTTTGGAATGTTGTGTTGGGTCGGTAATAGGGTCCTTCTGTGCAGATTGAATCGCTGTATGTAGGAGCCGCTTCAGTTGCAAAGAACAGGAAGGTGAAGAGAGATAGAAGCAGCAAGTGCTTTGGAGAGGATTTTAAGGTACACATCTCTCTCTCGCTTTGCTTTCTCAGAGCCAAAGGTAATTTTTCTTTTTCATAATCAGACTTTAAGATTGAGGTGAGTGTTAATAAGGGAAATGGCTACTGCCAGCACAAAACTGTTTTTTTAATGCAATATCAGTTAATGAAGTGAAGTAGGGATCAGGTGGATCGGTTCGCAGGATGAGTCAATTGCGCACGTATCCATGCACGACTTTTTTGTTTTTTTTTCTATTTTCCTCCTTTCGTGTGGACTGACGAATTTGTCCTTAACTTCAAATTATTTTCTATTGTAAATGAGTTTTTTTTAAAACTTAAATATATATAAATTTAATTAATTAAATAAATCTAAATTAGTTCCAATGATCTGTCAAATACAGTCGATTAACTTTTAATTTTTGAAAATTAGTTATGGCATATGCTAGGCGTTAGAAAAAAGAAAAAAAAAAGATCTTACGTAGTCTCCTGAAATTAAATAAATTAAAATAATAAGATATGTGTCTAATAAAAAACTATATTAAAAAAATTAGATCTCTATTCCTCATTCCAGTCTCTAATTATATTTTGGGTAAATTTGCTTCCGGTATAAAAAGATAATAATTAATTAATTAATTAGAATGTAACATATATCCCATCGTTTTTATTGGTCATGACATATATTAAAGATATGATATACTATCGTCGTTTAACTTAAAATTATTTTTATTTTCAATTGTATTATTTATCTTTTATTTTTATAACTATCTCTCTTTTTATTGTTTACAAAGAAAGATAATAAATTAAATTTTTTTATTTCAAAATTTATGCTGTGTATATAATCATAATTTTAACCTTTAATATCTAAAATAGTAATAACAAAGTCACTCTTTTTAATTTATTTCTCCCTGTAAAATATAAATTTGTTCTGAAAGAAAATGTCCATTGCCTTTTAATTCAAGGCAACAGCGCTTTTTTAAGCTTATGACGGAGAAAGTCAAAGGAAGTGGCTAAAGAACCCAGGTCAATTTCGGTGGCTTGTTTTATTTTTATTTTATTCCTCTTTTTGTCAATAATTTGTGTCTATAGAATGGTAACTTCATGAACTATAATTGCTGATAAAATCAAGAGTGAGTGTGAAAGTGGTTAACTCCAATTGCTAAATTACCCAAAAATAAACCGTCAGCACCTAGCACTGAGATTAAGGGCTTTTTTATTTAAATAATGTAAATTTAAAAACAAATTCTTAATATATAATTTTTTTGAAATAATTTTTTTATCTGGGGTGTGTCAATCTACGTGTCATTAGTTTCGCCAATACTGCTGGCAAAAATATTAAATTTTTATTTTAAAAAAAATAAATTTCACCACAAAAATTACAAAATAACCAGATTGTGACATGTGTCAACATTTACAAAATTTTGCAATATGATTGACGAAATTAAATACCAGTTTCGTCATATAGAGTGGGAAACTCTCAGATTGTGACACGTGTCATGATCTGAGTGAGTTTCGCCATAAAAATTACACAACTTGCAGGAATCTGACACGTAGCACAATTTTAAGCTATTACGCAAATTTACCTTTATTAATTTTAATAACATAATCAAACCAAATCTGATTTAGATTTAGATACAAATTATTACCACATTTAAAATAAAAATCAAATTACTAACATTTCATGAGAAAATATTTTTTTTATTTACATATAAATTCAAATTATATCTTAATTAAATAAATTTAAATCACTAACATACAAAAAAAATCAATATTAATTAACACTGAAATGTATGGGCATAAATATTTTTAATTTTTAGATTAACATTATTTTTTGTATATTACAAAAAAATTATATAACATAAAAAAATATATTATTTGATATGATCAATAATAATTGTTATATTATGTTGTATTGGAAAATTTTATTTTTTAAAAATAATATAATATCTTACAATAACATGTTGTTATATTATAATATAATCATGATATTTTATAAATCTATTATTATTATTATTATATGAGATCGGTAACATTTATAAAAGTATAATACTAGTTTTTACTATATAATGTAATAATTTTAATTATGTTAATAATTTAAATTTATTTAATTAATATGTAATTTGAATTTATATGTAAATAAAAAAAATATTTTTTAGTGGAATGTTAGTAATTTAATTTTTATTTTGAATGTGGTAATAATTTGCATCTAAATCTAAATCAGATTTAGTTTGATTATGTTATTAAAATTAATAAAGGTAAATTTGCGTAATAGCTTAAAATTGTGCCACGTGTCAGATTCCTGCAAGTTGTGCAATTTTTATGGCAAAACTCACTCAGATCATGACACATGTCACAATCCGAGAGTTTCGCACTCTGTATGGCGAAACTGGTATTTAATTCGCCAATTATATTGCGAAATTTTACAGATATTGACACATGTCACAATCTGATTATTTAGCATTTTTTGTGGCGAAATTTTTTTTAAAAAAAATAAAAATTTAATATTTTCGCCAGTCGCATTAACGAAACTAATGCCACGTGGACTGACATACCCCAGACACGAAAATTGTTTAAAAAAACTATATATTAAGAATTTGTTTTTAAGTTTACATTATTTAAATAAAAAAGCCGAGATTAAGCAAGTAAATAATTACTATAATTGCTTCCTACTACTGATACTGTACCTGTAGTACCAGACTTCGCAACCGAGGTCAATGTTTTGGTGCTGTAGTAAAAAGGGTATACCTCATATCCTATTAAGTCCAGATACGTCAAAAATGGCAAAGTACCCGTATCGGACACGTATCCGATACTGATACGTGTTTGATACGCTTAGATACGTATCCAAGAAGTATCAAAAATTAAATTTATTTTTAAAAATTAAATTTAAACTGGATACAGTTGCGATACGGCTTGGATACGGCTCCAAATATTTTGATACGACTCAGAAACGGCTTGGAAACGGCTCCAAATCAGCTTGGCTAAAAACTTTTTTCAAATTGAGTGAATCAACAAAATTGAAACGGGGAGTTTCACTTCATCTTTCACTTTCCCATTTCTTCTATCATTCGTGAGTTAGGAACAAAACAGAACACCCAAAAATCAAAAATCAGCTAGGGTTCACGGTTCAAAACTCATATATTTCTCCATTTTCATCATCGTTTTGAGGTTGGATTCTGGGCTTCACGGTTCGACATTTGAAATGGAAGGTACCCAGAAAGCAAAGCGAAGAGGATAACCCGCACAACCAGGTTCGACCCATCGTATCCTTTCTTCTTCAACACCTCTGACGCCACGTAAGCTGGCATTTTGCAGGGCGTGAGGAGCATCCCGGATTTCCGCTGCTCCGGCAAGCAAAGAGGACAAAGTTGGAGACCTTGAGTTCCTCATTCTCATCAAGGAGGAGATTTTCGGGCTTCAAGTTAGTGGGTGTGTTCTGAACTTTGTTCCTTTTCTCTCTTCTCACTTCTCTGGACTTCAGCAACAATTTTAACATTTTTTCTCCATTGCTGTAGCGCTTCAAGTCAGTGGGTGTATTCTGAACTTTGTTTCTCTTCTCTCTTCTCTTCTCTGGACTTCAGCAACAATTTTAACGTTCTTTCTCCATTGTTGTGGTGGTAAAATCTCACAAACTTCCTCTTTCATAATTTTATATTTTCTATTCATTTTATAGCAATATTCAATAAAGTAAAAATATTATTCTTGCATTTTTTCACAGCTGTTTGATGACAAAAAATGAGTTTTGGTTCTGACTCTAGTTTTAGAATTCCAAGTAACTTTGGTTCATTAGAATTTCAAGATGATCATGCTCCACTTTGGACATTTGTCACTATAAAAGATAAGCTAGGAGATGGAGGAGGCAACAAGTTATGGAGTTGTAATTTTTGTGCTAAAGTGGTCAAAAGTTCATACTCAAGAGTGAAAGCACATTTACTTAGAATATCGGGTGCTGGTGTTGCTCTTTGTCCTAAGGTCACTCCTGAGTATTTGGCTGATTTGAAGAGAATTTGTGAAGAAGTTGAAAATAAAATTAAGCCCAAAACTATCCCACTACCTTCAGCAGCTCCAGCAACCTTATCCCAGAAAAGAAAAAAAATAGGAAGTGGGTACACTAGAAAGGGCTTTCAATGTGGATGAAAGAAATCAACTTAGAGCAGAGATAGCAAGAATGTTTTATTTAGCTGGCTTATCATTTCATCTTGCTAGAAATCCTTACTATGTTAGCTCTTATTCATTTGCTGCAAACCATAACCTTAGTGGTCTCCTTCCTCCTAGTTATAATGCTTTAAGAACAAGTCTTTTACAACAAGAGAGATCTCATATTGAAAGATTGCTCCAACCTATAAAATCTTTATGGCTTATAAAAGGAGTTACATTGGTTTATGATGGATGGACAGATGTTCAAAGAAGGCCATTGATAAATTTCATGGCTGTAAGTGAAGGAGGACTAATATTTTTAAAGGCTGTTGATAGTTCTAAGGAGTACAAGGACAAACACTATATGGCCAGCATAATAAAGGATGTAATTAATGAAGTAGGGCCAAAAAATGTTGTTCAAATCATAACAGATAATGCTCCTGTTTGTAAGGCAGCCGGGATGTTAATTGAAGCTGAGTTTCATCATGTATTTTGGACTCCTTGTGTTGTTCATACTTTGAATTTAGCATTGAAAAACATATGTGCAGCTAGAAATATTGATGGAAATGAAAATGTTTTCAATGAGTGTCATTGGATCACTCTCCTAGTTGATGATGCATCTTTTATCAAGACTTTCATAATGACTCACTCTATGAGATTGACTATTTTTAATGAGTTTTCATCTCTTAAATTGCTTTCTGTTGCTGAAACTCGTTTTGTATCAATGCTTGTAATGCTAAAAAGATTGAAGTTGTTGAAACGTGCTTTGCAAAATATGGTCATTAGTGACCGATGGAATAGTTATAGAGAAGATGATGTTGGTAAAGCTGCCCATGTGAAAGAACTTATTTTAAATGATATATGGTGGGATAAATTAGACTATATTCTTTCTTTCACAGATCCTATATATAGCATGCTTAGAAAATGTGACACAGATGCTTCTACTCTTCATTCGGTCTATGAAATGTGGGATTCCATGATTGAAAAAGTGAAGACAGTCATATATAGGCATGAGGAAAAGGAAACAAATGAAGTTTCCAATTTTTATGATGTGATTCATAGTATACTGAATTTTAGGTGGAGTAAGAGTTGTACTCCACTTCATTGTTTGGCCCATTCATTGAACCCAAGGTAAATTTCAACTTAGTTACTGTCTCTTGAAAAATAAAAATCATACTATAACAAATTTTTTAATCATATGTAGGTATTATAGTGAAGAATGGCTTAGGGAAGCTCCTAATAGAGTTCCTCCACATCAAGATGATGAAGTTTCGAGAGAAAAGAACAAATGTTTGAAGAGATATTTTCCTAATGCTGAAGAAAGAAAAAATGTTTTTGTTGAATTCTCGAATTTCTCATCTTGTGCAGCTGACTTTGCTTCTTTTGATTCGATTGAAGATAGGTGGACATTGGACCCAAAATCTTGGTGGGTAATGCATGGATCTTCTACCCCTTTACTTCAAAAGCTTGCCTTAAAGCTTCTTGTACAACCTTGTTCCTCATCTTGCTGTGAGAGGAATTGGAGTACGTACTCATTCATTCATTCTATGAAGAGAAACAAAATGGATCCAAAAAGGGCTGAGGATTTGGTTTATGTGCATTCCAACCTTCGTCTTTTGTCTAGGAAAGAAGAAAAGTATACTAAAAGGAGAGACAAGGATGTGGGATATTAGTAGAGATGTGCATGATCCACTTGATAATGGTGCTGAATTTCTTGAATTGGCTGAATTATCTCTTGATGAACCAGACTTAGAAGTTATGTTTTTTTGTAGATGATGGAGATGGAGAAAATGAGTGTGACGATGTTAGAATTAAATAATATAAAGGCAGGATATTTTTTTTTGTGATAGTTCTATATTTCTTTTGGATAGAACTACCATTTCTTTTGTGAAATTTTAACTTGAATAGGGGTAAAGTATGTAATTTTTTGATGTGTTCGTAGACAAGGAAAGATATGATCGCATGTATTTTTTTGTAAAATGTGATCATTGATATGTAAATGTAACACATTAATATAAATTAATTATTAATATTTCTTTATAAATATTATTTTATTAAATTCATGTTAAAGTATCTAAGTCGTATCGTATCTTGAAATTTAAATTTTTTCTCTATTCCCATATCGGTGTCGTATCAAGGATCCGGCTTCACAGCTCATATCTAATAATATTGCACCCAGGAAGCAACACCCTTTGCTCCTTGTTTCCCATCACATCAATTTGGAACGGACGCAATGGCGCTTCCGAAACACATGGTGCCATCAAACAAGAACAACTCTGGCGTGCGCTGCACTTAGAGAGGAGGAGGTTGAGGTTGGTTTGGAATGTGCTATTTGGTTTGTATTTGAGAGATTATGTGCAGTAATGGGAACTGTAAATTGGAGCTTCTTTGGGTGTGAAGAGTAGGGACATAAAGAGGGATGGGAAATCCATGGGAATTGTTTCAAAGTACTTGGAAGAAGGCATCTTGAACTTGGTGATCTTTGTTTGGGGAAAGATTTGCAGGGGACTGTTCATTTCTGCAATTTACTTATTCATTCAAGTCTTTATTTTGTGTTTAGCATGTACTAGGGATTTGAACAATCGGGTGTCAAGCAGAGTTTGCAATTTTGTGTTTAAATGCGGATGACCCCCTTATTTTTTACCCAAAGAAGACACCGGTTGTGCGTTCTCAAGTCCAGTCAAGGTGAAGAAACATATTGATTCGCTAGAGATTGGTTAATATTTAGATTCAAATTTGGAGGCTTAACAGTGAATTGACACAGCTAATGTGTGAATAGTGGATACCCTTCCTAGGGTGAGAAGTTCTTGTCATCTTTTCTTGGAAGTATAAATAGTACCCACAATAGACAAACTCCTTTGCATTTTTTGTTTTACGGGTAAGAATTGAAGGTTTTTTCAAAGCAAATAAACAATCGGAAAATAAGGTTGTTTTTTCGACACGCAACACATACAACATGGCTTCAACGAACCCGAAAATATTATTTCACCATTGGAAAATAAACAATTGCCAGATTTTGTGCTTGGATCATCAGAAGGCAGGACTCACAATCAAGTAGAACGGATACATTTATCTTTAAAACCTCGCATTTTCGTGCCTATCGAGGATCTATTTCACTCACTGACATCTCATTGATGGACTTTCTTGTTGAATTGTTAGGAGACTGACCAATTTGCATCCCGTTTGGCATGTTTGGACCAGTTCCAGTGTGTAGAAAAAATGCAGGCTCGTTAGGTACCGGTAGAGTAACAGAAAAACTATCAAGCATAAGAATTACTGATGCCATCGTAGGTCTATCTGCTGGATCTTCTTGGACACACAGTAAACCAATATGAATGCATCTGATAACTTCATTTTGAGTGTATGATTCTCTTAACGAGTATTCCATTAACTCCAAGGGTACTCCATCCTTCCAAAGTTTCCAGGCCTGTATCAAATTTTCATCAAGCATTTGTTATAACATGATCACTATACAAGTACGAATGAATTAACTCAAGAAGCAACACATTATAATGTTCCCTCTACTCACATAGCTCAATAGATCCTCAGCAACATCTGATTCATAGAAGGAGCTGTTCTTCTTGCCGCTTATAATCTCCAATATAAGGACTCCGAAACTGTATACATCAGACTTCGCAGAGTACTCTCCATGCATTGCATACTCCGGAGACATATAACCACTAAAACACATTCAACCATCAATACAGCATTGGAGTCTAAAGAATGACCAAATGATTTTATTTGTTTGAAAATGCTAAGATGTTTGAGCTAATTCTGACATTTAGATTGTTTGAATTGGAAACCAGTGCTTTCACAAATATATGCTGAAAGAAATACATGAAAACTTGTACTTACTATGTCCCTACGATCCTATTGGTATTTCCTTGAGTTTGGTCCACTCCAAATATTCTTGCCATGCCAAAATCTGAAATTTTTGGATTCATATCTTCATCCAATAATATGTTGCTAGCTTTAAGATCACGATGTATAATTTTAAGCCTTGAATCTTCGTGAAGATATTGAATGCCTCGGGCAATTCCTTCAATAACTTTGTAACTCCTTGACCAATCCAATGCCCTTCGCTTTTCAGGATCTGCCCATTGAAAAACAAAAACTATAAGAAAAATCTCAAATAAAGGTGAATCGGTTTAGTGAAATACAGAAACAAATGAAAGAAAAAACTTCCATACAATTTTATGATTTTCTCGGGGTTAATGTTCAGTTAATGAAATACTAAATTGTATCAATGTTAGTTATGCATGACTTCCTTAAGTTTGGTCCTACACATGAATAAATTAGATAAATTCCTGGAATTAAAGCAGGCATGTAAGTAGTACACTACAAAGAATATGGTTAAGATGAGCCTACCAAAAATAATATAGTCAAGGCTTTTGTTGGGTACAAATTCATAAACAAGTATCTTCTCTTCTCCTTCCAAGCAAAATCCCAGAAGCCTCACTAAATTTCTATGTTGAAGCTTTGCAACCACCTCTACTTCATTCTTAAATTCTTCCCCACCTTGTCCAGAGCTTTTAGAGAGTCTCTTGACAGCTATTTCTTGTCCATTTCGAAGCAAGCCCTGAATTTTTCACAAAAATTAAATGGCACGTGCACAAATTGGTCTAATTTTCCCGTTATAAAGAAACAAAGAGTGCCACTGCCATACCTTGTAAACCTCACCAAATCCACCTTCACCCAGCTTGTTAGCATCAGAGAATTTGTTAGTGGCTGCCTCAATTGTACTAAAACCAAACCTCAATGATTCCACAGCGCTGATCTCAGTTCCAGCTGAGAAGCAAAAAGGCGTGTCTATCAGATAAAATTGCAACAGCAAATACAAACAAAGTCAACAACTTTTCAATTTACTTTTTGGGTCTTTTACAGCAGAGCCACGCTTCTTTGCTGCTCTCTTACTTAAGAAACAAATGGCCACGATAAATAGCAGCACAGCCACCGTAATTGGAACCACAATTGCAACAATTTTTCCAGATGAGACTCCACTACTTCCTGCATTTCCAAAATGAATTAATTAAATTTATTTCTGTCCAAGCATATGTTATTCTAGAAAGCATGAAATTTGGAACTAAATTACATTACCTCCAGAATTAGGAGGATTGGTTGGAGGAACAGGGGCTGAAGGTGGGGCTGATGGTGGAGCAGTGGTGTTGGAGAGATAAAAAGGATACAATTCATACCTAATGTTACAACTTGGAGCTAGAATCCTCGCTCCTTGCTTCCCTTCACAGCACCGTGAAAGGCCCCTTATGCAAGTACCAAGACACCTTCTGCAATCTTGGGTTGACAAGTCGTCTGTGCACTGACTCAAACAATAAAGCGATTGAAACTGAGATATGTTTGCTTGGTTTGTGGCGTATTTCTTAAAACCAACAGGAGAATTAGCGGCTTTATCTGCTGTTTTGTTCATGGTGTTGAACAACAAACTCATGAAGCTTTCCGGATTAGAGATGTTGTTGGAATTAAAGAGGGCAATTTCAGGTGCTTGGACGACGGTGGAGAAGAAAGAGCGGTTGGAATAGCGAACCATGCACTCGTCGTACCAGATCACAGCCTGTATGGACAAGGAACAATCTGGGAGCGATGATAGTTGTTGTGTTGCGTAGACCACGCACTGTCCACACTGTTGAGAAGAGACATCACCCCTGCACATGAATAGTCCGTAGACTGTGTCTGAGGGGTTGGTTCCTGCGACTGTGGTGTTGTCGAATTCATTGTTGGCTGTGGCTTTGGAAGATAGTGAAGAGAAGAGGGTCCTGAGGTTCAATTGAAAGGCGCTGTTAGCTGTGGTTTTGTTGCTCGAACAACTCTTATCTAGAAGGGTTGGGGTCTGTGCTTCTGTGGTAGCAAAACTGAGGAAGAAGCTAACTAGGAAAAATGGAAAGAGAAGCTTGAAGGCATTCCACGCCATGGTCGAGTGAATGGGTCCTTTACTACTTCACCGTGGATGGATGGATGGAGTGTCGCATGTTGTTGTTTGTCAACATTGCTATTGTGTATTGTAACGATGATAAGTGCGTGTAAATGGAACTAGCAAATTTTTGCTCATACTTTATATCCATCCATGGATGAACGCAAATCTAGTCATTCTGGACTTGCAGTGATTATCGGATATACAAAGCAAGTTACTCTAAAAATATTTTTTTAAAATATTTTAACGCTTAATATTATTTAAATATAAATAAATATTAATTATAAAATTATATTTTTAATTTATCTAAATTTTAATATGCATGATCAATATAAACATATAATTTTATTTAACGGTTAAATTAAAAATTAATATTTAAAAAATTATTAAATAAAGTAATTATTGTGATTTTTTCTGAAATAATTTAATATCTGTTTTTAGTTATAATTAAATACAGCTTCGACTACATTATGTTTGTTTAATAATATGTTTATATTTTTAGACTCATATTAAATAAAGGTAATAAATTATGAATTTATATTAGATTACATAACTTAAAATTTATTTGAACTCTTTTTATATAGGTGTAATAAATTGTATTTTTAAGTTGAATTAAAAATTTTATATTAAATTTTATTATGAATTATTTTTAAAAAAATTAATATAAATTAAATTTAGATTTATTTTTAAGTAAAGGCAAGTTTATCCAAACTTAAATTTTATAAACATTCGCTTAAACACATTTAGATTTTCCATTTTTTCCAACATGAAAAAAATTATGAATTGATGACAGATTAGAAAGTTAATGAATTATTTTTAGGATTGTGATTTCTGATAAAAAAAAATGTTAAAGATTATACTGGAACCTCCTTTTTATTTTAGAGTTGCTTTGACTTTGAGGCCTAGCCCTGCAATTTAAAAAAAAAAAAACTTATATTGTCTAATGAATATTTTTATACGTCAAATAAAGATGGTAAACGGTGAGGAACTGAGGAAGTGATAATGTGGAATATAAAAAGCATTGCTATCGAAAACTGACCTGAAAATAGGTTGAGAGCGCCATGTGAAGCCGGGAAAAGGACAAGACACCATCCGCTGACTAAAAATTTAAAAAGGACAACAGAAACAGAAACATAATATTTTCAAGTCACCGAGGTTTCCAAATTAATCTTCTAATAACAGAAAGACCAAAAGACCCTTGCGTGTTATATTTCAATTTGTTTCTGCACGACATATTTGAATATTGTCTTTTTGCTGCATATATTTCAATGTTATTCTTTTTAATGTTATATTTAAAACTTGATAAATTAATTAAATTTAAGTTTATTTTTTATAAATACGAAAATATTGTTTATTATGTTAGTAGAATGACTACGTACATACTCCAGATTTTTTTTTTAAAATAATTACTAATTCAAGACTTTCAAATTATAAGTTAATTTTTAAAATTAAAGTTTTAATTGTGTTGCTAAGTAATAGTTATTAATCATGTGGACTTAAAATTTATAAATGTTCAATTTTGACAAAATTTGATGTAAATAAATTAAATAATAAATAATTATAATTCAATCATTGAATTAATAAAAAATTATATTAAATTATTAATGGTGTAAGATATATTGCCAATCAAAAGGTTAATATTTAAATGTTATATTTAAAACTCAATAAATAAATAAAATTTATATTAAATTTATTTATTTTTAAATATGAAGGTGCTATTTTAATTATATTATTAGTATAATGATGTATCAACTTCGGAGTTTTTAAAAGTAATTGCTTATTATGAGTTAAAACTTAAAAGTAAGTTTCAATTATGTTATTGAATAATAAATCTTCACGGTAAGTGTTTATTTATAAATTTATTTTTATGCCGTCAAAACTACTATTTCTAATTAAAATTTTTGGATTCTTATATTTATTTATAATTCATGTATTTATCTAATTTTTAATTATTTTTCAGGATGTCAAAAAAACAGTTTATCATTCTAATTTCTCAGACGTAAGACATATATTTAGATAAATATATTATAAAAGTACATTTTTTTATCTACACTTAAATTTTTTCTAATTAATTAATCCATATATATATATATATATATATATATATATATATATATATATATATATATATATATGCACATTTCCTTCTTTGTCTGTTTAAAATATTTTGTTATTCTTAATTATTCATAAAAGTTACCACCGAAAAATAAAAACTCTAACTATAAAATATATTATAAAATAAAGATCACGTACATCCCTAAATACCTTTCCAGTTCTTATATTAATAAGAGCCTAATTAGTAACTAAATCTGTTTCAATTTCGCTGAAAAAGTTTCAAATCATAATTATTAGATTCTCAGCTAGATATTTAAACACGCTATAGTGCTTTGATGCGTTCACTTTGCCTCTTCAAGAACTGTTCATTCATGCCACCGATCACTACCTTCTTTAACGTTATATTGAATGATACTACTGAAACAATTATCGGTGTACTTTATTCCCCCTCACACTTTAATTCTACAAATATTACTATGTACAAGTATAAAAAAATCATTTTGAATTAGCATATACAGATTAAAATTAAAATTAAAATGTGACCGATAAAGAGTGATTCTCCTTAATAAAAAAATTTGAGTTTAATAACACATTTAAAACTGCTTTTTAAACGATCGTTTTATTTTTATAAAAAATTATTATAGAACTGACAAATAAGTGATTTTTTAAAAAAAATATAAACAAATACGCACTAAATATTAGAAATTGAGAACACACACGTAATAAAATTTATATATTTTGGTAATTGAGGTGATTGACTGAACTCGAGTTACTCGAAATCGAAAGTAATTTTTAAATATCATATATCTATATACATACCATTAAGTACTGCATAAAAATTATATAACATCTATTAAATTACCAAATATCACTAAAACCAATGTTAAAAAAATGTCAAAGAATGTACTTCTAACCTCCCTCCCTGGCATGGGTGAAGAACTCAAGATGCATCCATCACCAAGGAATTGTAAAATATAAGTGGTTTCTCTAAAACTGTGGGCTTTAAATCTTTTGGAATTTCTTCATGTTAGTTGAGCCTGCCGTGCGGCAAGCCACATTTGACCGTTTGTCTCCAGCCCACCATTTCTTTCCAATATTTTTTTAGGGTAAATTCTGTAATTAGAGTAAATAATTAATCATTAATTTCCGTTTTAAAATAAACAGCCTCGTCTCAGATTATTGTGATTGATTCCTTCTATAAAGTGACAAAGCTTACTCTCTTTTTTTTTGCTGAAGGACAAAGCTTACTTTTATCACCTTATTATTTTACAATATCATCTTAATAATCTTTTAATATTAGAAAGAAAATATTAAATAAAAAAGTAAAATGTTCTATATTTTCTTCAAATTTCAATGGAGAGAAACTTACGTAAAGATATCAGTTGAAATATATACATATAATCACTTTTCTTGAGATACCATATAACAACACTATCGAGGGAAGAAATTAGTCGTAGACATCTTATTTACAGAGGACGAGAAAGAATGATTAGTGGAGTGACCTGAAACTGATGCATGATCAGCTGACTGTCTTCTCTTTCTGCCATGCATGAAAAATGCTGGTTCAAGCGGGAATGGCATTTCAACTGAAGGGTTGTTAAGATATGAAACAATGGTTCCCATTGTAGGCCTGTCATCTGGATTTTCTTGCACACACAATAAACCAATCTGCATACACTTTTCAACCTCGTTTGGATAATAAGATTCTTGCAGAATTGGGTCCACCAATTGAAATGGTGATTCATTCCTCCATTCATTCCATGCCTGAAACCATACATAAATCGAATAGATATCCCGGTTATTGCCCCTCTTGATTTGTATTTCTCTCTCTTTTGAACTATGTAGAGATCCCGTGACATGAAAATATAAAGAATAAGAGAACAAGCAGGAATTTGATACTCACATAACTCAAGAGGTCATCAACACGACAAGATTCAAAAGAACAAGAATTCTTCTTCCCGCTAATAATTTCAAGAACCATAACTCCAAAACTGAATACATCAGACTTCTCTGAAAATTTTCCATGCATTGCATATTCAGGAGACATATAACCACTGAAAAAGGAGAATAAAATAAAAGATCAGTATCAAGACCATATGTAACACTACAAAAATAGCCATGCAGGGGATATCGAGTTGACAGTTTAACCCAAATAAAAGTAGTAGGGACATAGAAGCAGTGTTCGCGGGTAGTATTGCATCACATTGCACTTTTTTTTTTCAATCTCATCACTAATGTTGAAATGGCCAAGAAAAAGAAAAAAGGAACAATATTTGAAACTCAGTAGTTCCCGACAATTTTAATCAATCATCTTTGGAACTGATGAGGACAGCATGCTTGCCATTCCAAAGTCGAAGTAATGGACTTGAGAACATGCGACAGAGTAACATATATATTTTTCAGTATTAATTTAACCTAAACCAAAGTGATGGCAGGAGATAGTATTCAGAACGTGTCACATTTTTTTTTTCTTATGATAATAAATAAATGAAGAAGATAAAATATATAAGAATTTGCTTTTGAGAAGGTGGTACAAATAAGGGTTTGCAACTCACTATGTGCCCACAACTCTATTCGTACATCCTTGAATTTGATCTGTAGATACCATCCTTGCCATGCCAAAATCAGAGATTTTTGGATTCATGCTGTTATCTAACAGAACATTGCTTGGTTTGATATCACGGTGTATTATCTTGAGACGAGAATCTTCATGAAGATAAAGAATTCCTCGTGCAATTCCTTTGATGATTTTATACCGTTCGGACCAAGTTAAACGTCTTTGGGGATCTATAAAATGCCATCAACCAACCAAATGAGAAAAGTATAAGTGGACAACTATTTTCTATTATCAGCTACACAATTCAAAGAGATTTCCAAATGTTATTAAATCCAATAAATAACATATCATTATATGATATATACTATGAAAATCTGGCATTCAAATAAATACATGCAAACCAAATTTTATTTCGAGTTTGATCATGATAAAAATAACATAGCAGTGTAAAACTTAAATAAAAAGTAGAAATAAGTATTTAAGTGTCTTACTGAATAAGAAGTGATCAAGGCTCTTGTTAGGCACGTATTCATAAATCAGTATTTTTTCTTGGTCTTCTTGGCAGAATCCTATTAATCTCACCAAATTTTTATGTTGAAGTTTAGCTATTAACAACACTTCGTTTTTGAATTCCTCCTCTCCTTGCTTAGAATTTGTTGACAGTCTCTTTACAGCTATTTCTTCTCCGTCAGGAAGGATTCCCTAAAATTACATTCAATCAGAGAACTGCAATAAAACAATAATTGATGTACGCCACTCATCATATTTGTATGTCACCTTGTAGACTTCTCCATAACCTCCTTTGCCAATCCTGCGGCCTTCAGTAAAATTATTTGTGGCTCCTTCAATTGTAGCCAAATCAAATTGCAAGGACTCCAGGGTGATGATTTCAGGCCCAACTACATGACAATTCAGAAAACAGTTATTTAAAAGAAAAAACACGTAGCAAATACTAGAAGAAAAAAAAAAGGCCTCTGGATAAGCTTCAAAAAAGAAAAATTTTACTTCTACATATATTTTCAATAACTTTTCTTTACAACTAGGAAGAAAATGTATGAAATAAGATAAGTAGTGTGATGAAATATAAGTGATATAAAATCAAAATCATAAGACTGATATGAGAAATTATTTTTGCATGATAACTTTTTTATAATTTAAGTTACAATCACGAGAGAAATAGAAAGAATGGGGAGAAGTATAAAATAAAATCGGGGATTTAGTAAGAAGGAATAAAAAAAATAGTATTATAAAATGTTGAATGAATAGGTTACTCGAATAGTTTTTCTCTAAAGATAATAACGGGATCATTGACATTACAGTGTTCTCTGACACTGGCCTTGCGTTTCTTTCTCGCTTTCATTTGGAAGAAGCAGTAGCCAAAGCAAAATAGCATCGCCAAAGCGACAACCAAGACAACAGCGACCGCAATCACTTCAGTTCGAATATTTCTTCCACCTGTCAAAATGAGGTCATAGATTGACACACCACACCCCATCAAGGCATTTTAATGTTTTCTTAAGCGGTAAATTAACATGTTACTTAAAAAAAAAAACGATTTTGAACGTGTTAGCATACGAATAAAAACTTAATAAATAACAAATTTTTATTAAAAATTATATAATTTAATATTATTAATGTATTATATTATATAATACGATATAATTTTCAATAAATTTTTATTCTGTAAGTAAAGACACAAATTTTTAAAAAAATGAAAAAACAAAAGGTATCTTTACACTTCATGAAAAATAAGTTTTTTAGACTCATTTTCTTTCGCCCTCTTTCTTTTCTCCATCTCGCAAGTCCGAGGCTAATCTCCCTCCGGTGTAGTATAGTAACAAGATGGCTCCTCTCTCTTTGTATTAAATGATTCAGTGTATGTTTGGAAATGAAAAAAAAAAGTGATTTTTTTTTATAAAGAAGTGTCAAGAAAAGTGAAGTGAATAAAACAATTTTCACCCCCGAATAAAGAAAAGGAAAATTTTTTGAACTGACCCTTGATCATTGCCTGTTCCGAATGCTGATAAAAGGGATATGTTTCATACCGAACAATACAACTAGGAAACAGAACACTTGCCCCTATGCTACCTCCGCAACAGAACTTGGGGAGTTCCGCCGCCGCATCGGAGACACACCGTTCACAGTCGCGGGAGGACAAGTCCGGCGTGCACTGAGCGAGGGCGTACAGTGTCACGCTGGAGGAAGCGTTTTCTTGCTTAACAGCAAATCCATTAAACCCACCGAGAGCCAGTGCTGCTTGGTTAGGTAGTTCACTGAAAATGGATCCTAATGCGGTGTAGAAGCCACGACTGTGCAAGAGCACAGGGTCCCCCAAGGGGATATTGATCTGGTACCTTGGCCACTCTTCCATTTTAGAGAAGAACAATCTATAGGAGTAACGCAACAAGCACTCGTTGTACCAAATCACAGCTTCTTTTGATGTGGGACACGATGCGGCTATTGTTCGCGTTGCGAAACCCACACACTCTCTGCACAAAGCAAATGGCACGTCTCCACGGCACATGTAGAGACCGTAGACGGCGTCCGAATCTTCTGTCCCTGTTGTAGCGTTGAAGAATCTAACATTGTTGGTGACGTTGGAGGAAAGGGAAGAGAGAAGGATGTTGAGGTTGGTGTTAAAGGTGGTGTTTGGAGTGAAAGTTTGGTTGCTCGTGCAGCTAACGTTGTTGAAAACAGATGCAGAGGTTTCTGTTACGGCGAGAACAAGCGTGATAATTATAGCAATCATGATTCTGTTATGCAGCAAATTTTCTACACTGCGAGAAAGAAATAATTGGTAGGCTGCTAGTATGCACATAAGCGCAAAGGGGAGTAATCAGAGACGGCACAATGTATGAAAATGATTAAGGTTTGCGAGTATGAGTCAACAAAGCAAAACTTTGACTAATTAAAAAAGAGAGAGAAAAATCTAATTGCTAAATTAGAAACGTAAGGGGATGCATTTTCTTCCTTTCTATTCTATGGATTATTTATGCAGTTTGGTGTTTTAGAGGGTGCGGGTCCAATCGCATTGTCAAATCATGTTGTTGGTGGAGTCAGCACTGGCATGTGATCGAAACCAACTTGGCTATTTGCCTCTGCTCGTTGATATGGGAATGGACCCAAAGCGTTGTTCTCTTTTGTCATTTGATTCAAATCATTTAACCATGGGGCCATGTCAATAATCGGTAAACTATTGCAAATTTCATTCTATCAATTTCACGTTCTAAAACTGCAGGTTAGTCAACTAAATTATTTATCCATTTATTATCCTAAAATTATAAAAAAAATTTACATTTTAACTACAAATGTTTATAGAAATAAAATGATTTATAATAATAATCTTATGTTTAATTATTTATATAATAATTTTATTTTTTATTTTATTACGGTACTTATTCTTTTCTTCCATCTTTACTCCCTATTTTAGAGTGTACGTTAATTATTATCCAACTGAATAATTTATTGTATATTTGGTTTTTTTTATATATTTTTTGATACAAATCATATTACGATAAAATATTATCATGTTATTAATAGTTAAGTGTTGAATAATTTTTATTATTTAAAAATTTTAAATACTACTATATGACATCGGAACATATAAGAAAACTAAATTTTTATCCCTTGTCAATGCAAAAATTGATCGTGATCAATATATGTTTTTGGTCGAACGTGAAAGTAACACAGGCCCTGAAGGCCCAAAAGAACAAACAGGCCAACATGGCAATGCTAACAAAAACACGAACTGAACAGGCATGCAGGATTGCAGGGCAAGGACTAGGTTTGGTGGTTTGTATCAACATAGTACTTGTTGATCAAGACCAAAATAAAAAATTGTTGACCATAAATACAAAGGATCAACATAGTACAAAGAATAATACTTATTGCCCACGTGTTTGCAAAAAGAGTGTTGTACGGATCGTGAACCCCAGCCAATGAACTTACAATAAGTTTTGGGTATGTCTTGGTGAGATAAAAAAAAAAAAGGGAGGGTAAGATTTTAAAATTTATGAGTTAAGAAATATTAAGGAAAAAATAGAAGAAAAAAAAACAAGCGAGAGAGATTTTGGTTGAGATTTAAAGCATTATTTTCTAAAAAATATATCTCAAAAATTGATAATTATGAGACACTTTGATACCCATGATCGATATTCAGATTTTAAAACTGATTCTTTAGTAATTCCACAGTTTCTTCATCACTTCCATAAAAAGTTAAGCCTATTTCCCCCCCTAAATTTCCAAATGTGAAAAGCTTGTTCTCACTATTAAAATTGGAGTTAAGACATAAAAAAGTGGAAGAGAAAGAAATTTTGACATAAAATTTTAAAGCATTATTCGCTAAATAATATATCTCAAAATTTGATAATTATGAGATACTTTAAATATTCATGATCGATAATTGAATATTTTAAAATTGATTCTTTTTGTTTGAAAAAGTCAGCTTGTCGGATTAATTCGAAGCAACAAAGACCTTAAGCTGAACAAAATTTATCAACAAGGTAATAATGCTCGTCGAAAGTCAATATATAGTTATTAACAGAAAGTGCATTCACAACTCATACCTTAATCCGCAGCTAGGATACCCAACTCTTCCCCCAGCCTTTCCCAAACAACACCCGGTATAGAATTAATTGCTTCATGCAGGCACGCGTAGCAATCTTTGCTGGACAGATCGCTTGTGCAATCAGCACAAGTGTACAGCGACCGAGACTCAACAAGGGAAAGACTTGCCTTTTTGGTTGCAAAGTTTTTGTTACCAGGGACTCCAGAATTGGCTGCCTCTGCTACCACTTGGGTCAACGTTTTGGCTAGTGTCGTAATGAAGTCCGTGTTGTTATTGGTGGTGACATTAATCGTGTTGAAAAACCCAAGTATCGGTTCTTTCTCCACTACTGAGAAGAAATAGCGGTTGGAGTAGCGAACGAAACACTGATCTCGCCATAGCATACCCTCTTTCTCAAACTCACACTTTGAGGATAACTCTTTGGTTCCCCTCGCAACGCAATCTTGGCACACCTGACGTGGCACGACGCCACGGCAATTGAAGAGGCCGTAGACGGTGTCGGGGGTGTTGCTGCCACCGGCTGTGGTGTTGTAGAACAACGTAGTGCCAGTGGCGGCGACGGAGGAGAGGGTAGCTAAAAGTTTGTCTAAGTTGAACTGTTAAGCGCCGATCGTTTTTAGAACAGGTGAAATGAGTAAGATAATTGAAATACTAGCAGAAATAATTGAAGAAAATTTAGTAAAAAATTTAAGAGATAGAGAATTAATATCTTTATTATTTCTTTTTTATTTATAAGTATCTTCTATTATTAAGTTTGGATGGTTCTATATACTAAAACTATGAAACTTAAAGATTTACATTCTAGAACTATTTCTAAAAGTATTTTTAAATTAAAAGATTCAAATAATTTTTTAAAAATTATTTTTAGTATTTTTTTAGATTATTCTAAAAATTTATATCAATTTCTAATAAGCTCTGCCATCGAAGGTTTTGTTGGTTGAGCAATGGTAAGCAAATTCGAGTGTGGAAGATGTGAGAAGGGGAAGATGAAACAGAAGACAGAGATAAAGGAACACATGATATTTGGTGACTGAGTAGTTTCTCACGTTGTCGGTGACATTAGAGAGTATAGATTCGCCTACGAATGTGGAGAGACTGCAGAAGATATATTTGTGCTTAATTATGGACTTGGATTGGATTAGTTGCTATCAGTTAATTGTGACTACCACGCGGACATTAAATGCTGATATTAATTTATGGTCAACTAGTCAACCATCTCCCAGCTCATCCGGGCCAATGATACTGATCGAAAATCGTCTACAGTTATTTATGTCTTTGACCGTTTCCAATTGACCGATGTTCAATTTTTTATAAAAAATAAAGAAATTAATAAATATTTTATTAATGAAAAATTTCATTGAATTACTTTCATTATTTATTTGCTGAAAGTTAAGTTTTACAATATTCAAGAATGTTGACTTCCAAGGTGCCAGGAATTTAAGGGGGGCAGTGTCAAAAGACCAATAATTAGCATACTACATATGTACTTACATTTAACCTTTGTTTCTTTCTTGATGTGAAAGTCAATGGCCTCGTGGAAGGTTTGGGTGAGGGCTTCTCTCTGGAGGAGAGTTCCCTGGCGGCAATCATGGCAAATGATTTTTTGAGTTCAAAGTACTTCGCCATCCTATAACAAAGGTGGTTGTGCCGGTGTCGGGTCGGCTGGCGAGGAGCCGTTTTTTAATCTTCAGGCAAGGAGTTCAATTCATGCGAGTGAATTAAGTGGTCCTTAAAATTTTAAGAGAGAAATCAAAATGTTTTATGTCAATTATTAATATTATGGATTAAGATTTAAGATAGAAACGTATCTAAGAGTTACATCTCTGGCGTAGTTGCAGTAGCATTAACCACGGTGTAGGGTTTGAAAAAACAAAGAATTTTATAAGCAATGATCCTACACTTAATGAAAGGCATGACGATCCAAAGGGAATAGTGGACAATAAATGATGGGAACAACTATTATTGCATTGTTTTAGGTGATTCTTTTATTTCCTTGGTTGCCATGGATACTTGATAGAGTGTGGCTGTTTGTTTTAGGGCATGAGAACGGAGTTTTAAAAATATCGCCTGGGAAAATGATAAAATTAAAAAAAAAAATATTGCATTTTTAACGGAGATTGATTAGATTGGCAAGCGGCTCATTCTTACTTAATCACTACTAAAGAAATTATCATTCAAAATTATTATATTTGTAATAAAATTATATAAAAATTAAAACTGTTTTAAAATTTTAAAATGTAACTATAAATATTTTTTATTTAATATTAAAATTAGATAAATGTTGATATTCGTTTTTATTTATTATATTTAGTTTTGATCCTTATAATATTTTTAAAAGAATTTCTGTTACTCTTACCCCGCGTGCTGTTAATTTTACCAAACTCTTTTTTTTTTTTTCCAATAAGGTTGCCAGTCACATTTTGTTAAATTCGAAAGCCTCAAAGATCTCAACTCAATCGAAAATTGTCTATAAAGTAATGTTCACCAAAAGTGAATGTAGTCCAGTCAAATAGTGTAATCATATTTTTTTTTACTTGTTTTTTGCTGCCTAAATTTCTTTGCATGATGGATGATTTAATGATCGTTCAAAGAATTTAAAGGAAAATCGTAAATTAGCCCCTTAAATTTTGGGTGATGTGTAACTTAGTCTTTAATTTTATTTTTTTTTAAAATGTTCTTCAACTCAAAGTTTTTAATATATACAAAATATTCCCTCCATTGATTTATTTTAAAATTATTCTTAGAGACATTTGGAATTATCTGTAATTTAGTTCATTGAATCATGTGGTTTTTTTTAAGGGATAGACAAAATAACATGATTTAAACGTTAGAGTGCTATTTTTTTTAAAATTGATAGCACATTATTTCATACACCCAACCCAAGCTTCATAGTGTTTTTTTTTTTTTCAAATATTAACGAGCAAAGGATGAATAATAACAAAAAAAAAACTCATAATTAATATTGGATCTATCCTAATATACATGATAAATAAAAGGTTAATAAAAGTTGGTCTAGTTAATAAAATTACTATATACTATAAGGACACAAGTTTGAATTCAATGCTGGCATCAGGACTTTGTTGATAGACTATCTATAAATACTTCAGTAAACACTTAGTGGTGAGAACTAAAATCATCTAATTTTTTATATGGATATTTTTTAAAAGTAAAAAATCATTTAAAACTTGAGTACAAGGAGTGTCGAAGGAAAAATACATACTTCTCATATACAACGTCAAAATTCTTCACCCGAAGTCAGTAACACTAAAATAAATTTGAGATTACCCGATACAAAATGGCCTATATATGTATTTAGACGTATGATGGGGGTACCAAAACTACAAGACAACATTTGTAAAACACTTGAACAGCGACATTGAAGATTTTTAATGAAGTGATGGTTACCATAACGATGCTAGTATATTGACTCGTCTATCCGTTGATTGAGAGTGACTTATATCAATCAGTAGATTATGCTTACACAAATAAATGATAAATAAAAGTATTACACGTTAAAAATACAAGTAAATAATACTGTGCAAAAGGAGGATAAACTTCATCGAGGATAAAATTTACTCACAGACATCTCATTAACAGAGAAAGGTGTAGAACTATTGGCAGATTGACCAGAACTTGATTCTTGTTGTGCAGAAATTTTTTGGTGTGTTCTACCATGCAAGGAAAATGCCGGTTCTTGGGGAGATGGTAGGTCAAGCGAGAGATTATTAAGATATGAAACAACTGTTGTCATTGTAGGTCTAGCATTTAGATTTTCTTGGACACATAGTAAACCAATTTGAATGCATTTAGTAACTTCAACTTGAGAATAATTTTCTTTCATATTTGCATCCACTATGCTCAATGGAGTTTGCTCCTTCCAGTTTCTCCAAACCTATAAATAGTTATCATAATAGACACATCTAAATTATAATATATATATATATATATATATATATATATAGAGATGAATATTTTTACACCAGTATAAGTCTAAAAACTCTTACACTCAATCTGAACTTTTCATTTAATTTAAATTTAATGAGTTATAATTTATTAATTTACTCACTGTTAGATTTAAATTAAATGAAAGACTCAAATTAGGTGTAAGAGTTATTTGAGTGTAACAAGATATTGTTCCATATATATATATATATATATATATATATATATATATATATGAATATGTGAACATTAATTAAAAAAATTGCTAAATTAACACACTCACATAGCTCATGAGCCCTTTAGAAATATGGTTTGATTCGTAAGAATTTGCATTTCTTTTTCCCGTGATAATCTCTAAAATCACGACTCCATAACTAAAAACATCTGATTTTTCAGAAAATTGTCCAAACATTGCATATTCCGGAGACATGTAACCACTGTAAAAAAAAAATTATAAATTAGCTTAAACATAACCATGCAAAAGTGAGAAAAAAATGTATATAGATAAGAATTCAAAACTTACAATGTTCCAACAATTCTATTAGTTGTTCCACGATCTTGGTCAATTTCAACAATTCTAGCCATGCCAAAGTCTGATATTTTAGGGTTCATATTTTCATCTAATAAAATATTACTAGGTTTGAGATCACGGTGAATAATTTTAAGTCGAGAATATTCATGTAGATAAAGAATTCCTAGAGCAGTTCCTCCAACAATTTTGTAACGCTCAGGCCAACTTAACTTTTGTTGCAGAGCATCTGTAAATATTTTAAATGAATAAAAAAAGCAAAATATACTTTAGTAAAATTAACTTTAGATATAATATAATCTAAAACATTTCAAATCACTTTAACCAATTAAAAAGTTTAAGATGAAATACTCGAGCCAAATAAAAAATAATCAAGGCTTCGATTCGGCACGTATTCGTAAATGAGAATCTTCTCTTGTTCTTCTAAACAGAAACCTATAAATGCCACAAGGTTTCTATGTTGTAACTTGGCAATCAATAAAATCTCATTCTTGAATTCAGCTGAACCTTGCATAGAACTTGTCGAAAGCCTCTTAACAGCTACAAGTCGTCCATCAGGAAGAGTGCCCTGAGAACATAAACCATTATTTTTGTAGTAAGCATGATCATAAAAGAAACAAAATTTGAGACATTTGTTCACCTTATAAACTTCTCCGAATCCACCTTTACCAATTTTGTTCTCATGTGAAAAGTTATTTGTTGCCGCTTCAATTGTAGCCAAATTGAATTGCAATCCCTCTAAAGTAGTACTTTCACGACCAACTAGACCATTATGTCTAAATTGTCAGACTAAGTTCAGAAACTTCTACGTGAATCTTATAAATCAAGAATTGTGAATTAAAGCTTAATTCAATCACAATCACAATACATACAGTTTTCTCTTAGAAGAGTCTTGTATTTGCTTTTTCTTGCTCTCCTCTTTAGCATATAGCCGCAAAAAGAAAGGGCCGTCGCCAAGACAACAATGGGTACAACAATTAAGATAATTGTCCGGGATTTACCTTTATTTTCTACATGAGAAATCAACGTATATCATTCCGATACCAAAATCACAGTAGAAATTTCTTCTATAAAAGAACACAGGAGGCAAATAATCATGATTCGTTGGTTAATCATTTTACGTGAAAAATCAATTTTATAGAGTCAATAGTATTTAATTTTTTTACCATGGCCTCCCTATAAAACCACAATATGAAGTTTTTGTTCTAGATGTTGTAAATAAAATTTTGATCTTTTCTGAAGTTACTACTTAATACTTATCATCCACTAAAAGTGTGAAACAAATACTTACCTCCTGAATTTGCTTGAGGAACGAATCCTGCTGGTGTTGGCGATGGTGCAAAAGCAAGAGATCGATAGAAAGGGTAAATTTCAAACCTGATGATGCAGTTAGGATATAGAACTCTTCCTCCCTGCGTACCAGCACAGCACCGTGGAAGGTCCGAATTTATCAAACTATTCAGACAGCCTCTGCACTGCTGATGTGACAGATCTTGTGTGCACTGAGCCAGACAATAAAGGTTCTGAAATATAGATATGTTTGCTTCCCTCGTGGCAAATTTTTTGGCACCAGTTGGTGAATTTGCTGCATCATCTGCAGTTATGTTCATGGTGTCATACAATAAACGGTTGAAACTGTCTTGGTTGGTCATGTTCGTGGGGCTCGCCAGCACATACCCAGGCCGTGTGGCCACGGTGGAGAAGAAAGAACGGTTAGAATACCGAACCATACACTCGTCGTACCACATCACAGCTTCTACTGATAAAGAGCACTCCGCGTTTGTGGTTAGTCGTTGTGTTGCGTTTCCGACACATTGATGACATAGGTCGGAGGGGATGTCACCCCTGCACATGAATAGTCCATACACTGTGTCTGAGGGGTTTGTTCCTGTCACGGTGTTGTTGAAGAATTGGGTGGTGTTGGTGGCTTTGGAGGGTAAGGAAGAGAGGAGTGTTCTCAGGTCTACTTGGTAGGTGTTGTTGGGCGTGAATCTGTTTTTTGAGCAAACCTGGTAGAGAAAATTTGGGTCTTGTGCTTTAGTTTTTGCAAAATTGAGAAAGATAAGAAGGAAAAAGAGGAAGATGTGTTGGAGCTTGAGGTAGGATGCCATGGATAGTTGGTGGGTTTGTGATTCTCTGAGCCCACTGTGTAGGTGGATGCACAGTTGCAATTTGTGTTTGGTGAAATTAAATTTGTCTATTATGTAGGGAAAATTATTCTCTTACGCTTCATTATAAGTTTTAAATGAGTGTAAAAAGAGAGTTAAAGAAAATCAAAGAAAGTAAAAGATGTGATAAAAAAAATTAAAAATAAATAAAGTGGATATAAATATATATATTTTTGGAAAAATAGAAAAGTCTTACATTGGTTAAACATGAGTGAAGTAAAAGAAACACAGGCAAAGAAGTGCACAAGTCCAATTGCCTAAAGGCATTTAATTATAATTTCAAGCTAAAATCCTTCAACAGGATCAACTATTCTCCCTGTACTATGATCTTGAATCGGACCCATTCGTAAATTCAACATGATATTATCAAGATCCCACTTTCAATCTTAAGAAAATATAGTGGCCGAGACTTGAGTGAAAAAAAAAAAAACGAAAAAACTTAAAGAGAAAGAAACAAGAATTTAATAAAAAGAAGTTAGTTGACTTAGGGTCTTGAGCATAAAAAAATGTTGCAGATTTGTAGACTTTTGAAGCTAAAGAAGGAGGAGCGTAAGCTCAAGCTGAAAATTGAAGGCGACAAAGTCACAGTTGGACCAATTGATCTTGAGGCAAGAGTGCTAGAAAAACAGGAAAGTCTCGTATTGGTTAAACATGAATAAAGAAAAACAAAATATAAGAGACGTGTAACCTGCTGGTAGGATTTTTTATTTTACTTTTGCAAAAACGGGGGTATATGAACTCATTCGGTAATAAAAATTACGCACATATATTAGAGTTATTTTTTTTTATACTTACACTCTTATTTTTTGTAATTATTAAAAATAAATTGTTAGTAGTTAAATAATTTAAACTATAATAACTAAAAAAAAGAGTTAAAATCACATATTTTTCTAAAAAAATAATTTAGTTCTTGAAATATTTTATTTTTAAGTTTTTCAATTAATTTTTATATATTATTAAATTAAAATGTACTTAATATATGATTTATTTAAAAATATATAAATAAATTAAATTAAAAAAAAGTAAGTGAGTTTTCACTGATTCTCCAATTTCGATATATTGGAATGGAGTTGAACTTTAATTTTTTTTATCACTATTTTTTCAAAATCCAACCCAAACTCACTTCATCTTTAATGGAAACAAGGATGAAGAGAGGTAAACTGGCCTCTAACCCACTCCATTACCATGCTTAAACTAACCACTCTCCTTGTATTTTAAGTTAATTAGATTGACCCGTTCTTAAATTTCAACAATATAAAATTAAGATTGTGTATTATTTGTGCATTTGACAATTGGAAGTTTATGCTTGGAATTTTGTTGATAAACTTAGGTTGACATGGCACAGAGGACAAAGGACATATGCAAGCAAGCCCATGAAGCAGGGAAGTCAACCTTATTATCTGGTCTTTTCCATCTTCGTCACGGAGGTTAATTCCATTTGAAAAATCTTGAATGAATCATATATATATATATATATATATATATATATATATAACGCGTCTTAAAAACATAATATGAAAAGGTGAACTTCAGAGATGGAAAACCGAGAGATTGGGATGGAGAAGAAATAAAGGATGACTGAACCAAAAGTCCCATGAGAATGAGGCGTATATAATGGGTACAGACCCAGAAAAGACAAAAATGGAAAAATGACCTTTGCATTGAATATGAATAGATGGGTTGTGGTTTATAAATTATGAACTAGTTTGGTTATTTTAACAATAAAAAGTTCATATGCTAAACATATATTAGCTAAAGTAATATAACATTTATTTCTAATAATGAAATAATTTTGATATTTAAATAATTAAAAATTAGCTTCATATGTTATATTATATATAATTAATTGATCTATTCTATAATATATTGATAGTTAATGAAAGACTGTTAAGTCAGAAAAAGTCAATAACATATAAGTTTAGATCTAAGTAGTAAATACATTAATTTTAATAATATCTAATTTATAAAAAACTAAACATATAATTTTAAAATATAATAATATCATAATAATAAACATTTATTTAGATAAAAACAAGTTTTATGATGACTTTGTTAGGAAAATATAATAATTATAAAATATAAATAAAATTTAGAAAATAAAATTATACTTTTGAGCAATTAATTAGAAATTTATTTTTTATTAATAATTATTCAATTATAATTTTGAATTGAAATGATCACCTAATCAATATTGACATTTAATTTAATTGTATAAGATAAAATATAAAAATAAATAAAATTTATGATAAATATTACTAAAAAATTTAGAAATGATTTCAAGAGATTCGTTTTATCACATTGTTAGTGTAAATATTTTTTATACAAGTCAAGAATTTTTAATGATGTGATTATTATGACAATATAATTTTTTTTTACATTGTTATTATATTTTAATTAAATTATTACCACCTTATTTTTTTCAGGTCATTTAAAAGTACAAATAAAAAAGACAACAAATAATAAACTATTATCATTCTTTTCATTGGTCTTTAAAATGTTCAAGACAAAAGAAAATTCAAAAATAACAAAAAATATTTTTATTTTAGTTTTATTTTTAAAATAAAAAAACAAAATATTTATATATTTATTTTCCTAAATGATAAAAATACTAAATAAAAAGAAAACAAAAAATGATAGTGATATCTTTTTAATTTTATTCTTAAAGATATACAAAAGTAAAGTTGTTAAAATAAAAGAATATAAAAAATAATAAAATAATAAATAAGAAAAAAACATTAAATGTAAAAGGGATAACCAGAGTTATCTTTTAAAGTTGCACAAATTTTATTTCTAATTATGAAATAATCCTATTGTTTGAATAATTAAAAATTAACATTACAATAACAAAGTTTTATTTTATTAATGTCATTGAATTTGATAAAAAAAATTATTGAATACATAATTTATTTATAGTTATTTTAAATAATTGTGTGATATGTTCAAATTAATGTTATACAGAAAAAATTATCAAATATTTTTGTAAATTATTAAGTAAAATATATATATATACCGAGGATAAATATTAGTCATAGACATCTCATTGATAGAGAATAGTGGCGAACCATTGCCAGTATGATTGGAACTCCATTCTTCTTGTGTGTAACTATTTCAAGATCCATTCTATGACGGTAACTCAAGTGAGTGATTATTAAGATATGAAATAGTTGTTGGTCTAATATTTCGATTTTCTTGAACACATAATAAACCAATGTGAATGCATTTAATAACTTCTATTTCTGAATAACTTGCTTTTATGTTTGAGTCCAAGATCCTTAACGGTGTTTGATCCTGCCATTGTCTCCAAACCTGCTGTATATCAAAACACATATTACAACAATTCTCAAAGCTAAAATCAATTTCAATTTATATTATATTTTATATATGAATTTAATTTAAATACACTTATAATTAAAAAAAATTATACTATTATCTAATAAGAAATTATCATGTAAAAAAATCAATAAGTTCTATAATAATTGATATAATAAGTATATTTATGATGCATTTTAATTGATTGACATTATAAATAGCTTTACAATGATAATGCACTAGAATTAAACTCTTCATGTATGTGCCCGTAAGTAATTATTTAACAAAAAAATTATATCATCATACTCACACAAGGCCTTCAACATCACTGTATAATTTTAAAAAACTTGAATTTCTTTTTCCAGTTATAATCTCAAAAACTATGACACCAAAACTAAACACATCTGATTTCTCAGCAAATTGTCCAAACATCGCATATTCTGGTGATATATAAACACTGTAAAAAGAACATATGAAACAGTTAAAATGTAACATCTACAAAAGTGAGATCTAGAAAAAAAATATATATCCATAAAAGATAAAAACTTACTAAGTTCTAGCAATTCTATTTGTATTGCCACGATCTTGATCCATTTCAACCATTTTTGTCATACCAAATTTTGATATTTTTGGATTCATATTTTCATCTAATAGAATGTTACTGGATTTAAGATCACGATGTATAACTTTAAGTTTAGAATATTCATGTAAATAAAGAATTCTAAAAGCAGTTCTTTTTATAATTTTGTAACGTGGAGACCAACTTAACTTTTGTTGTTGAGTACCTGTCAAAATTTTTAAGTAAATTAAAAAAGTAAATACAAAATATTTGTAATTAATTACTTGAATTAATGGAAGATATAATTAATAAATTGAAATTATTACATAATACACAAATCAATTTAACTAACTACAAAGTTTAATGTTAAAAGCATCTAACCAAATAAAAGGTAATCAAGGCTTCCATTTGACTTGTATTCATATATAAGAATCTTCTCCTGCTTTTCCACCCAAAAACCTATAAATGCCACGAGATTTCTATGTTGTAGCTTGGCTATTAATAAAATCTCATTCTCAAACTCAACTGAACCTTGTTTAGATGTTTTTGAAAGCCTCTTAACTGCTACATATCTTCCATCACATAAAATACCCTAAAAATGTAAATTATTAATAGTTTGTGTTGAAATAAGATAAAAAGAAAAAAAATATCACCTTTTCTCACCTTAAATACTTCTCCAAAACCACCTTTGCCAATCTTATTCTCGTGCGAAAAATTATTTGTTGCTGCTTTGATTATAGTCAAATTGAATTGCAACCCCTCTAAAGAGATACTTTCATCACCAACTAGACCAATATTTAAATCGTCAAAATTCAGTAGACGAACACACAAGCTTAAAGAAAGAACCCATGGACTTGTTTGTTAATCTTCGATAGCAGTAGCACCAATTCTATTTATTTTGGTGTACTTGAAATTGGAATCCCCTCGTAGCCAGATAGATGAACACGGCTAAATGAAACACTATGTCAAATTTTTTTGTCTTCATTTTCTTGGTATGTGTATTCCCAGTTACCTTCCAGCCCGTTACCCAATCAATATGTAATTGTTAAGTATGGGAGCTAAGCTCTTGATAAATGTTTCTTTTATCGCTTTAGGAATTTTTTTTATATCATTTTTTCTGACTTATAGTAAAAAGATACATAATAATTTATTTATGAAGTATAATATATTAATAATATTAAATAGTATAATTTGTAAAGCAAAATATTATTTTATAATTTTAAGATGTATATTTTTTAACTACACATTAAAAAAACTGTTTTAATATTTAGAATATATAATTCATATATATAAGAATATAAGAGGAGTATTTTTAACATATTTTTAAAAAATATTCTTATTTTTTAGCTAATATTTATTAAGAATTTAAAATATAAATAATAATAATTAAATTAAGAGTGGAATTCACAAATTATTTATAAATTTTAATTAATTATTAAAAATATTTTAAAAAATGTATTAAAAATTATGTTGTTAACAAATTTTCATTAAAAAAATGAATAAGTATATATCAATTTTAATAGTTGAAATAATCGAAAAAGTGAGATATATTCCCAAAATTTATTTTTTCCCTTCACATGCTTGCTGTGGACCATTAGTTGGATTTTGTGAGTGTAGCGCAATGGGAACCAATATTGTTTATAGTTTTCTGAGGAATAAAAAAATTGACGACAAATTAATGTTATTCACGTGCGCGCGTAATTTATATTAAGCGAGTGAAGCTCTCTAACTCAGACCGGTCAATCTTTCGATGCTATCTACGGTGAGCTTGTCCAGAGCTACTTTTTTACTTAAAACAGGAGTGCAGTCAAAAAATTAAAATATTTTATGATATTTGTATTTTAATATTTTAATCTGTGTTTTTAAATGTAATTTATTATAAATAATTTTTACTATTTAAGTATAAATCAAACTTTTTTATATAAATATTTTTAATAATTATTTAACTTTATAGATTTCAAAAATAATTTATTTATATACAAATCTAATTATTTAATCTAAGTCAACCCGTGATTAGGTCAAATTAATTCGTATCACATGTAAAAATAAGTAAATAACTAACTTAACCTAAATTATTGTATTTTAATCGAATTTTCTTTTGTCTCAACTCTCAACCCAATTTATAAACACCCTTAACTTTGAGAAGCGTGTTACAAGGTAAAAGTAATTAATTTTATCCGTTGAGTAATTTAAATACATATCCGAGTCTCATAAACCCATCTTTCAGCCAATTTTCTGCCCAATTGCCTAAAAGAAAATAAATAATTTCAATAATATGTTACTTAAATAAATAAAATAAAAATAAAAATAATAACTATTTTTATCAAATAAAAATAAAAATTATATAATAACTGTAAAATATTCAAATAAAAATAGTTTTTGATAATATCTTTTTATGAATATAACAAACGAATGACTTGTTCATTGACCGTGAATGACAATGATTGCTAGGTAAAGCAGGACGTGTGATATGAGAAAGTGAACTAAATAGGAATGAAAAACTTGCTGTAACAATTATTAACCATGCCAAAATTTTAGATTTTAGGATTCATATTATTAGCTAAACAAAACCTTTATTATCAGGGGGTTTTAAAAAATTAAAATTTATTTTGCTAGTTGAAAATTTCATTTGATAAAAATAATATAAACGTAGAAATATCTTAGCTTGCTTTTACAGTGTTCATACCGTATTCTTAATTTTGAATTATGTGAGGTCAGCTTTGGTACACTGCACTGAGGCCTCTCTTGACCGCTGTAACACCTCCAAAAGTTAAATATATCAGCACACGATATGTCAACATATTTCCTTTGCCACTGTCCGCAACATATAAAAAGTATACAAATTTCTCATGGTCTTGCATGCACTGCCATTAGCTTTAATTTGCAAAGAGGGGTGATGTGAGGTCAGCTTTGGCTCCAAGTAATTTATATGATTTGATTTAATTATTTTTTTAGGGGGGAGGATAGGTCATGGATATATATATCTAAACCATAGTGATTACCCCTCTTTGAAAGTGTCAAAGATCTTAAGCTCTACTGATTTTTGTCAAACAATGTCATACTAATTAAAAGTAAATATTAAGTCATTAACATATGTATAGTGCATTTATGATCCTGTACATTCTAGTTTTGCAGCCTACAGTTCTTTGCTTTATTAGATTGATCATTCTATATTTCTAATTGGAAAATATTGAATAAATACATCATAAATAAACTTATAACTCAATCTCTAACATCTTAAATGTCACATAAAATTTATTATACATTACCAACATAAATGAAGAATTAATTATTTATCGAGGATAAAATTTACTTGTGGACATTTCATTAATAGAGAATAGCGTGGAACCATTGGGAGCTTGACTGGAAGTTGACTCTTGAGTAATTATTTCTTTATCAATTCTAGGTCTGTGTAAGAAAAAAGCAGGTTCTTGTGGAGATGGCAATTCAAGTAAATGACTGTTAAGATATGAAATAACTGTTGCCACTGTAGGTCTAACATTCGGATTTTCTTGAACACATAGTAAACCAACGTGTATGCATTTAAGAACTTCCATTTGTGAATAACTTTCTTCAATGTTTGAGTCTAAGATGCTTAATGGAGTTTGATCTTTCCATTGTCTCCAAACCTGTAACAATTAATCAAAATAAATATTCATATTGCTAAATTTCTCTAAAATAAAATAAATTTTAAATTACATATCATACATGCATATGTTTGTTATTAAAAATAATTTGAAATTATCATACTCACATAACCCGTGAGACCTTCAACAATATTGTTTGATTCATACGAATTTAAATTCTTTTTTCCACTAATAATTTCAAGAATCATGACACCAAAACTAAAAACATCTGATTTTTCAGAAAATTGTCCGAGCATTGCATATTCTGGCGACATATAACCACTGTAGAAGAAAAAAAGTTACAAATTAGCTTAAATATAATCTATATAAAAGAAAGATCTAGAATAAAATATGCAGAACAAAATTTAAAACTTACTATGTTCCAACAATCCTTTTGGTATTTCCATAATCTTGATCCATTTCAACAATTTTAGCCATGCCAAAATCTGATATTTTAGGGTTCATATTTTCATCTAAAAGAACATTGCTAGGTTTAAGATCACGATGAATAATTTTAAGTCGTGAATATTCATGTAAATAAAGAAGTCCCAGAGCAGTTCCTCTTATAATTTTATAACGCTCAAGCCAACTTAACTTGTTTTGTCGAGTGCCTACAATGTCAAATGAATAAAAAAAAATCAGTTATATTTTATAATCAATCCATTGAAATATGTTTTGTCATTAATCACTTAAATTATTTTAAGATGTAATGTATGAAATAAATACATAATATATAAATAACTTTAACTAATTAAAATACTTAAGGTTAAAGGTATCTGACCAAATAAAAGGTAATCAAGGCTCCCATTTGGCATGTATTCATAAACAAGAATCTTTTCTTGCTCTTCTAAGCAAAATCCTATAAATGTCACAAGATTTTTATGTTGTAGCTTTGCTATCAACAAAATTTCATTCTTAAACTCCACTGAGCCTTGTTTAGAACTTGTTGAAAGTCTCTTGACAGCTACATGTCGTCCATCGTAAAGAATACCCTTAAAAATTAGAAAGAAGAATTATTTTTGTGTGTTGAAAACATAATAAAAAAAATAAAATTTAAATCAATATCAAAAGTGTTTTTATTTTAGTGTTATTTTTCAGTTAATATTAAATTTTATTTCAGCGTTAACTTTTAATATTAACTTATAGATATATATATATATATATATATATATATATATATATATATTACTGAAATAAAACTTTAAATTTAATTAGAAAATAACAAAAAGAAATATCTAAGATTCTGCAATTAACTGTTGCTTAAAAAAGTTATCAAACTTCTCACCTTGTAAACTTCTCCAAATCCACCTTTGCCGATCTTATTTTCTCGCAAAAAATTATTTGTTGCTGCTTTAATTATAGTCAAATCAAATTGCAACCCTTCTAAAGTGGTACTTTCCTGACCAACTATACCAATGAATTTGAATTATTGAATTCAGTTTTCAAATTTCTTAAAATTTTACAAGTTAATAGTTATTGATAGAAAATCTATAATACGTACAGTTTTTTCTGAGAAGATTCTTATAATTACTTTTTCTTGCATTTCTCCTTCGCAAATAGCAGCAAAAGGAAAGGAATGCCGCCGAGACAACGATAGCGACAACAATGAAGATAATTGTTTGTGAGCCAACTTTTTCGTTTTCTACATAAGAAATTAACATGTGTCATTTATTCATGAATCAATTATAATTGTTAATGGGTAATGATAACAATGATAGAAATGCCTTGATATATATGGCTAGAGAACTGAAAAAAATCGTGAAACTAATTAGATCTAAAGTACCCATATTTCACCTTGTTCTCTGCTGCGGTGTTTTTAACAGGAATAAACATTTAATACATCAATAATTAAAAGAACTGATTGTATTAAAAAGTAAACCATCATATATCGGTGTTTCTAATATGTGATGAGGATATGGAATAGAAAGATATGTCGTAAAAAATAATAATATTTAATATTTTAATAATCTATTATAAAATTTTATTATTTTTAATTACTTAAATTCAATAGGTTGAGTTAATATATTTTTTTATAAAAAATTATGATAATTGGGTAGTTCTCAATTCAAAGTAAGACCAGCTAATAAATAATAAAGTAAAAAGCTTACCAAATAATTTTAACAAAATTTTACTTGTAACGGATAACGAAGCATTTTTATTTTTGTGGCGCAGTTTGCTGAAAAGTCAAAACTGCATAAAACCATATTAGCAAATAGCAACAGTTTAAGTACTAAAATTATCGGTAAAATAAGCATGAAAAATTATTAATTAGGTGACGTGTATGTATGCAAAGTTTGTAGAATCGTAATATCACCTGCGGTGGTTGTTGGAGGAGTAGCTAGCGTGTTAACCTCAACTAATTGGTCACCGACTCTGTAAAATTGGGACAATCCAAACATCATATAGCAGCTAGGATTCAGTACTTCCCCCTCTGGACTCGCCAGACAACACCATGCAATTTCGCTTCTGAAAATGTTGTCTAGACAGGTGCGGCAATCGACATTAGATAGATCTGGCGTGCATTGAGCAAGAGTATAGAGGGTTTGGTGATCATTCAATTTGACTGATCTTGTTCCATAATTCTTAACAGTACTGTCCCCTGTCTGGATCTCCAATTCAGATAAAGTATTCGCCAAAGTCCATGTGAATAAGCTTTGCAGCAGGTTGGGGTTGGAAGTATTGTGGATATTGAAGTGGCGATAAGTGGGAGTGGTGTCCACCGTGGAGAGAGAAGAGCGATTGGAATAGCGAAGCAAACAGTGATCGAACCAAACGATAGCCTCTTTGGAGAAGGGGCATTCTGAGGATATTCGTTGGGTTGCGGTTTGGATACATAGCTGACAGAGCGTAGAGGAAAGATCCCCGCGGCACATGAAGAGGCCAGTGAGCGTGTGGACGGTGGTCTTGAAGAAACCGGTTTTGGCAGTGGCGTTGGAAGACAGAGAAGAAAGGAGGGTTCTGAGATTGAGTAGAAAAGCTGTGTCTGTGGTGGTGATGGTTTCGTTGTTGGAACAATTGTGAGAAAGATAAACAGGATGTGGTGAGTATGTATTGGAATAATCAGTGAAGGGAACGAGTCCCGTCGGGGGCGGAGTGGTGGTGGGGCGATAGAAAGGGTACACGTCATACCTCAATTTACAACTTGGATAAAAGAACCTCGCTAAGCCTGCGTTACATTGCCGTTGACCATTCACTAGGGTAGCATTTAGACACTTTCTGCAATCTTGGGGGGACAGATCGGGCGTGCACTGAGCTTCCAAATAAAGGGTATGAAATCCATATATCCTTGCTTGTTTCGTGGCGTATTTCTTGGCACCAATAGAATTGGCTGCCTCATCTGCCGATTCGTTTATGGTTTTGGATAACAAATTCATTTCGTTGGTCACGTTGAAAGAGATGCACCAACTGGAAGATGAATCCATGTCAACGGTGGAGAAGAAAGAGCGGTTGGAAAAGCGAATCATGCAGGCATCGTTCTCAATCCATCCAGTTTTGTACGAGGAACAATCTAGATATGAGTCTGAGAATAATCTTTGGGTTGCGTTTGCGACGCACTGGCCACAGAGCGGTGGGGGGAGGTCATCCCAACACATGAACATTCCATAGACTGAGTCAGAGTGGTTTCTGCCAGTGACTGTGGTGTTGTAGAATTGCTTGTTAGCGGTTGCGTTGGAAATTAAATAAGAGAGGAGGGTCCTCACGTTCGCTTGGAAGGCTCTGTCTGGGGTGGTTGTGGAGTTTGAACAGGAGGAGAACCAGCCACCACCGTTGTCATAGTCCTGTGCTTTAGTGGCTACGAAGTTGATGAAGCCGACAAGGGTAAAGAGGTACACAAGCTTCCAGGACGCCATGGATGGACTTGTCAAGGGACAACGGATTTGTAGGTCTTCGACATCAGTATCACTATGCTATATTTTTCTATACTTCTCGCTCTTCTGTCTATTCTAAATAACAAGGGCTGAATTTGAGAGTTACACTATGCAGAAGACAGAACAAGTTTTTCATTTTTAATTTTATGTTTAAAAATTACAAAATATTATATTAATATAAAATTTAATGTATTGATAATTTATTTATTTTTATAAATATTATGTATCTCTTTAAATTTAAAAATAAAATATCTATCGTCGTTTTTCTTTCGTTTCAAAATTCAATTCTCAAAGGTAATCTAAAAGAAGAAAAGTCAACGAAGCAGTAAGCCAAGGTTCTACGTCTTCATTTCCTGGAACGGGGTATTCCAAATGGCTTTCCTGTAATGTCACGGGTGTTTGGGTGTATCACAATTTACAGTAATTTGAATTTTCAGTATATGGATGTTTGTTTCCTTGAATTTGCCCATATCGAAATTTCTTGCAGCACTTTGTTGAGTGAAATAATGGTGATGCCCGTCCACGAGAGAATTTTGTGTATATCAAGATTAATTTTTTATTTAAAGTTACTTTTGAAAGGGTTAAAAAATTAAAAAACTTATACTTAATAATAGTTTTTACACAAATTTTTATTTTTTAATCAAACACTAATTAATATTTTTATTTATTTTCTTTTTTATTTCTTCCTTCTTTCGTATTTAATGTAATCATGAATAATGTGCTTAAAAAATAGGCGACCTACAGGGACGGAGTTAAAAACTATTTGTTGGAGTCAAATATATAAAGATGAAAAATTCAAAGTTAATATATTAAACTTAATCAACAATAAAAAAAATTATAATGATTAAAAAAATTATAATGTCTTTCTTTTACATAAAATATAAATAAAAAATTGAAAAACTATTCACATTAATTGAGCTTGATTTTGACTCAAAATTATTTTATTTTTGATAATGTGACTCAAATTTATTAATATTATGAATTAACGCACAGCTAATTACTTCTGATACGATAAAATATAATATGGTTTACTGTAGGAAAAAAATAGACCTATTGGTATTTGTTAATATTATTGATGAATACACAACTAACCTAATAAGATACAAAATGATACACTTCCATAAATAAAATGCAGATGTGTTGGTATCGTTTAAATTTTATATTGATGCTTCTTATCAAAAGAAATAAAGTCTATTTTTTACGAGCAATTAATTGAGTATCAAAGGAGATAACAATGTCAGTTTTTTATAATATATTTTTTTTATACATAAAAAGTTTAGATGGGTTAAATCTTCAGAGTTTATTAGGATTGGAATATCTTTTAAAATAAAAAAAACGCTTCTAATATATTTATAAATTATTTACTAACGAAGTTTTTATATCAGCAATAAAACTTAAACGTGTCTTTGTGAAATACAAATTCAATTATGGTCAATTGGCCTAATTTTCATTGACAATGTCATATAACCTCTAACAAATTGCAATTTTATTATATTTTGATGTTTACAAGAAAAAAGTTATAACAAAAACTAAAGAATGATTAAATTTAAGATATTTATTTATAAAATTGATAAAACTTAAGAATTAATTAAAATTAAATTAAAATCATGGATATCTAATTACATAAAATATAAATTGTAAGAACCGACTGAGATAAAACTAAAATTTAAGTGGTTAAGATATACATTTGATTTTTATGGTTAATACTAATGTATGAATTAATTTATGTATTAAAAAATTTTATGTTTTAATCTTTATATAAATATTTCATTACACTTTAATCCTTTGCTTTTCATTTATAATTTACACTTTATTCTCTATTAATAAAATAATAAAGATCCAAATATAATGAACACTTGTATACTCATAAAAATAGTAAAACGGTAAAAAAATTATAGAAACTGAATTTGCATTTTAATCGATTTAAGATATCTATTTGTTAAAAAAATATAAAAATATTACTTGGCCTTTTCTTCTTCCTTTTACATAACCCGTCTACTACGACTAGTTCTTATTCTTTACTCAGGGAACTCGCGTGGTCTTGTGGAGCTGGACTCAGGTGATTTCCTCATCGTTTCTTATACCCATTATACTGTAATTCCTATATAACATTATCAAACTTGTTTCATTTTGTGGACCATGTCTTTTACTGCAATAACTGTTTGATGAAATGTCACACTTTATGCCTTCTCTCTATTTACGGTAACTCTGAATTTTATGGTGGCATTACAAAAAAACCAGGAATGTAGTTTCCCAAATTCAAACATTATTGCCCAATTTTTCTGAATTTTCCTATTATTTGTATTTAAATATGTAAATGTGCTTGAGGATATGTTACAATTTAATATCATTTTATGGTTAAATTCTATTTTCCATAAGTAACAGATGAGGCAGCCAAGACTGCCACCATAGTATTAACGAGGAAAGAATTTGGTTAGGGTAATTCCGTTAATGGAATCACTGGTATAATCAAATTCTTTGTTGGTCGTCTTGTTGTCTTCTATTTTATCACGCTTAAAATATCCTGGTTCATGAGGGGATGGCAAGTTGATTGAAGGGCTGTTGAGGTAAAACACAACCGTTGCCATTGTGGGTCTATCGTTTGGATCTTCCTGAACGCATAACAGACCAATGTGAATGCATTTGATGACTTCTTCTCGTGCATAAGGTCCTTCCATATTAGGATCCAATAGTTCCAGAGGCGTTTGCTCTGTCCATTTTGTCCAAGCCTACAATCTCCATTAGTCAACGAATCAAATCATACCCTCAACACTATTTTCCATTTATGGAATAGAATAGAATAAATTTTGTACTCACGTGTCTCCGGATGTCATCAATACCCTCTGGTTCAGAAGAACAACCTTTCCTCTTCCCATGAATAATCTCCAGAACCATGACTCCAAAACTAAAAACGTCAGATTTCACAGAAAAGTGTCCATACATTGCATATTCTGGAGACATATAGCCACTGTATATAAAACACGAAAAGTTTGTTTAGTGAGTGTGAACAACAATGATTGATAGGTAAAACCAGACATGAAAAAGTCAATGAAGTAGAATGAAAAACTTACTATGTCCCTACAATTCTGCCTGTGCTTTCTTCAATTTTATCAGCAGCAACAATTCTAGCCATCCCAAAATCTGAGATTTTTGGATTCATATTACTGTCTAACAGAACATTACTAGGTTTTAAATCACGGTGTATTATTTTGAGGCAAGAATCCTCGTGTAGATATAGAATTCCTCGAGCAATTCCTATGATGATCTTCTGGCGTTCAGACCAAGATAGTAGTCTTCGCTTCTTGGTATCTAGAAATAAGTCATTATTTTAAATGGTGATGTATGCAGTTCAAATCAGACTGGATTTATAATTGTCTAATATAGGTTAGATGTATCATACCCAATAAAAAATAATCAAGACTCATGTTTGGCACGTACTCATAAATGAGTATCTTTTCTTCACCTTCTAAGCAAAATCCAAGCAACCTCACTAGATTTCTGTGTTGAAGCTTGGCGATAACTTGAACCTCGTTTTTAAACTCCACTGCACCTTGCCGGGAGCTTCCAGTAAGCCTCTTCACAGCTATTTCTTGTCCATCTGACAGAATACCCTGAAAAACATATTCAACTAGTTAACATGATAAACAAGTAGACTGCAATTGATATTCCCTTTTAATATGGTACTAGTTAATATATTTACCCTGTAGACTTCTCCAAATCCGCCTTTGCCGATCCTGTTCTCTTTAGCAAATTTGTTTGTTGCAGCTTCAATTTTGGCTAATTCAAATCGCAAGGACTCCAAAGTGGTGCTTTCATTCCCAACTACAGAAAATAGATTCGAATTCTGTAAGTTATTTGGTTGAAGGAAATGCTTCTAGATTGCGTAAAAAACAAGTGTATATTTTCACATTACAGCTTTCTTTGAGAATATCATGTTGCTTTTTTCTTTCTTTTCTGCATTGAAAACAGCAGCAGCCCACAAATAAAACCACCAGTGAAACAACAATTGGAACAACGATCACAATCGTTGTCAGTGTCTTCTGTTTTCTTTTTCCTGCATGAATATCAATACCTTATGTCAATTTCTACTCCGCAACAAGAAGTATTAGATTATAATTACATGTCTAAACAATAGATTTGTCTTAACTAGTGAGAGTTTTATCTTTTGAACTATTCCTCTTGAATGAAGAAGGGAAAGAAAATAGAGCTTGGCTGACAGTAATATGCACAGTGAATGACTCACAGAAAATGTTTGGAATGAAAGTATTGTTATTGTCAAAGGCTAATAGTCACTGTATAACTGATGCTTTTTCAACCTGACTGGTCAATATATATTCTCAATGTACTCAAATAGTAGAATATATTTCTTTTGCCAGATAGTAGTCATTAGTAACGTGTGGGAATAAGCGTGATCGGAATCATCTCATCTGACCCTACTGTTCTGCCAAAACCACTCATGCATCATATCCCTCATTGTTTAAGAAATAGTAAGAAAATTACGAGAACATAAACGAGAGATAATCATAGCTATAAAACCTGGTGAAGTAATAGGAGGAGGACTGTTGGGCAGTGGTGGCTGCGGCAACAAATCACCCCTGATGTGTGACTTGTGGAATGGATATAATTCATATCTAACAAAACAACTGGGATATATTATTGATCCTCCAGTTTTTCCTTTGCAGCAACTGGTTGGAATTTCTGCTATGGCATCACTAAGACACCAGCTGCAGTTGTCTTTGGAATGATATGGAAGGCACCAAGCGGAGCCATATAGCTTTTGGTTGTCTGTGATGTTTACTTCTTTGTCAGCTGATTTATTGGAAGCACTTGCTGCCTCAGTTCTCAAATCGTTCATCATATCCCACAGAATATTGTTGAAGCGCCCAACATCGCCCACATAATCGTGAACGTTCATGAAGGAAAGTTTAGGACTTTCCTCCACGGTAGAGAAGAAACAACGATCAGAATAGCGCACATAGCATACTTGGTACCAGAGTATGGCTTCTTTTGCGGTTGTGCATAGTGATGATATAAGTTTGGCTGCTTCTGTTACGCATTCTTGGCAACGTTTTTGGTTGATCTCTCTTACACAAATGAAGTCACCATAGACTGTGTCTGCAGTGTTTTTGCTAGTAACTGTGGTGTTGTAGAATCTGGCATTGTTAGTGCCATTGGAGGAGAGCCAATCTAGGAGCGTTTTGACGTTGGAACGGTAAGCGCTATAGGCAGCAAAAGTGGCGTTCGTTGTGCAGTTATAGTAAGCTTTCGAAGCTTGATCGATAGCTGCTTCAGTGATAGGAAAGGAAGAGCAGTGAACAAAGAGCGAAAAGAAAGTTGGAAGCAGAAGGAGCAAATGAAAAGAACCCATCTTTCGCAATGGGAACTCGGAGCTCAGATAATGTGCAAACAATGCTGGTGATATGGTGTGGCAGATACATATGCTTTCTTTATAATCTTTAAAGTTGAGTTAATCGGGACTTAATGATTTAAATAATGCTTTTTTATAAAGTAATTACCAAAATAAAACTAAAAAAAAGTCATTCCCTATAAAAAAAAAGAGACAAAAATCTAAAAAAATTTGAATTAAACTTTCCATGACACGTGGCCTAATCAGCTTGTTTTGTCTCTATGTCAAATGAAATCACCTTTTTGTCTTACTCAAAAACAAAACACGTTGATTGGACCACGTGTAAGTGGAGCAACAGTAAAGCGTCTACCTTTTTCCTTCTCTTCTCTGTGGTTCGAGAAGTTGTTCGTGATTCGAGAAGTTGTTATATCATTTTTGTCGTTTAGTGACCTGCATAGGATTTTTTTTTTGTTTTTGCATGATTTTGTCAGTTGTTTTTCAACTCAATATTCTTGAATCTATGATTGAAATTGCTCGCAATATGATAAGTGCAGTAAACATGTTATGCATAAGGAGGTTGCCATTTAATATGTGGATTTGAAATAACATTTTTAATGCTTAGATACCTATTAGATATTAAACATATTTATGTCTTTGTTGTTACGTGCACACAAATCATTCTCAAAAACAATTCTAATGCTAAAAGAGTCTTTCCTTCAACAAAAGCAAATGTAAGTGGTAGGACACAATTATTCTCATCTTGTGTTGTTGCAATCAAAACACTAAAACAATCGCTTAAATACTTTAAATTTGTTGTCCTCTTGATGTCCAACAACAAATGGCTTCATGTTAATCTTATAAACAAATCTTGGAGCATGAAATTGCATGTACTCTAACCACATTGGTAATGTAGCATATGATTTATTCCAATCATCAGATATTCTTACAATCGTCTTTTGTTTTGCCTTCTAAGTTTTTTTGTATGAAATTTTATATCAAAATTGACTTGTCATCCTTTCTTGAATTAGACTTATAGACAATGATGATTCAAGATTAACTATACCTATACAAAACACAACAAAAGAGCCAAGTGCCTAAATTTTGCTAAATATTTGGGTGGCGCGGCAGCTTGTTGTTTAGGGGGTAACACCACATTCGTATCCATATGAGTTTAAATGTGAACGAGTATCAAGATTCTATGATTTTATCTTAAATTGAGACAAATTTAACGAAATTTGAATATGTGTCTAATTTCTATGATTTCATCTCTATTTTATACAAAATTTATTACACATGTCAAGTTTTGGAGTATTTCGTCCTTCTTTTAGACAAAATAATTAAATAAAAATAATAATTTTTTTTAGTTTAAATACAATATATCTACTTACATAATAAAAATTTATCCCAAACAGAAAATATATATATTTTTATTTTGTTTTGATAATTACTTTTTAAAAAAGTATTATTTAAATTATTAAGCCGTTAAATGGTGATTAAAATATAAATATCATTCTATTTTTATTTTTTTTGAAGTATGGTACGATGATATTAGCCTAACGCACTTGTACTTATTTCCCTCGCTTTATTTCACTCCTAAACTCAACTTTTTTTCTTTTTACATGTTGTCATGTCCACCCAATCATTTTATATTCAACTCCATTTTTAAAAACCCACATGACCTATATTATAGCAATTATAATGAGTAACAACCCACTTTCTTCATACACTGCAATTATGGGAGAAGAGTTTTATTATTTAAATTCATTAAAAAATATTTTTATTTTTATTTTTTATATACATATATCTCAAAAATATACTCCACAATACAAAAGGACCCCTAAAGCTGTAACCTTTTAAATGTTCACGAAACGTTTTCCATGTGGAAACAATCTTGCTTGATTTTGTTTAAGATTTCTACCTAGTACACTGAACGGAGAAATTGTGAAGATCACATTTAATGGAATATAATTAAATTTAAGTAATGCCAAGAAGTAACATCAATTTTAAAATATTAAGAAAGACTATAAATCCATTAAAAGTATATATTGATCATATCCATTAAAAGCAGAGAGAACAGAAGGCTAAAGAGATGATAAATCACTTGAGGTTGATGTATATACTTGAAGGATTGTTGGTGTTTTGGGTTTTATGTTGGTCAATATTCATGCGAATTCACATTGCCAAAGAAGCTATATACATTTGGATAGGACAGTCGGTATTTCTCCTCTTCTCGCAAAATGGGTGGTTTCTGGACCATGCTCTTGTAGTGGTGGTGGTACATGCCGCAATTTGGTTTGCCATCCCATTTTCCAAAAAGCAATGTATAGTTCAACGTGCAAATATACTCACTTTTCAACTGGTTTCCAAAAATTAAAGCTTTCTTCGGAAGTTTATTTTTGAGAGGATAGGAAAAAAGGAAGATTTATATAATAATTATCTTTTTTAAGTTTCTCCAATTTAAAAAATGTTGTATTGACCGTTCTCTGATTTAAGTTTCCAAAACTTACCTTCTCGTAAGTGTTGTTAGTCCTTTTCTCTCAAAGTGGACCCGACACTTGATGTGGGTAACTAAATATTCCATGGTCCTTCCTTTGATTTGTTTCGACCAGAGAAAAGAAATACAAATAAAAAGAATCTTTTATTTGATTAAAAAATACTTTTTAAAAAACAAAACCAAAACAGCTTTAATTTTCTTTCTAATTCAAATTTTAAAATTTTATCTTTAGCCTCATCTTACTAAATCCTTGCTGGACATGTCCTGCATTCTATCTGATACGCATAAAACATGCTGCTAATGACAAGAGAACTGAAGGGCTGTTGAGGCTTGAGGTTAATGAGCCAAGATACTTCCATAGAGTCAAATAGTTCTGGGGGAAACAAGTCCGCAATATCCACTTGAATTTGAATCAAATAATTCCTCCCTGACCTATGTAATCCTAATTAACGATCGTTCACAAAAAGAAATTACAGGACTTTCGTCCAATCTAGGAGTGTTGTGACGTTGAAATGGCAGGTGCTATTTGAAGCAGAAGTGCTGTTGCTTGTGCATTCAGAACAAGTGGTGGGAGCTTGATGGAACCCATGCTTTGCCAAGGGAAATGAGTAGCAGACATAATATGCAAACTAAAAAGGATATCCATGAAAATGTTGGGTGGCATATCAATATGCTTTTTGCAATCTTTTTGAACTTAGAACTGACTAGTGATTTAAAATATATTTTAGTTATCGTGCTATTGTCTTTCAGAGTAAAAGTATTTAAAAATATGATTCACTCCCCCTTGTTCATTCCCAACCTCAACTTTTTCTTTACTTTATACATTCTTTCATTTCCACCCAGCCATTTTATATTGCCCCTTTAGAAATCAATATGAAGGGATGATAACGCCGCACTCAATTAAACTACCTCCCCGTTCTCAAGAAATATTTATTGATATACTTTTATACAATTATTATTTAATAAAAATATTTATTGATTTTTTAATTATTGTATGACAATAGTTAATAAGATCGTTTTAATTACCAGGCGTCAAATTATGATCAATGGTTCAACAATAACACTAACATTTTTTCATTCTATTATTATTGGTTTTAAAAGGGTGTCAAATTATATTGATGAATGCGACCACTTGTCTTGTTTTCTCCAAGTTTACGTTTGACAATTTGTGATAATAAATAATTGAGCCCTTTTCATAGTTAGGAATTTACTCGAGAAACTGATTGAACAAATTTCTAAGCATGAATGATTTCACTCTAAATCAAATTTAACCCAAACTAAGATAATTTAACATTCAGTTTACTAACACCATAATAAGTTTTCTGGTACATTGAATGAATTTTTTTTTAGGTTACATTCTCTCTGTGTATGTAAATAGAAGTCAAATCCGTTAAAATCCAGATCAATTAATATAATTTTTTATCAGTTAAATTATTTTATAAAAGACAAAATAAATAAATACTTTATTATATTACTTTATTTTAAACTATAATGCATTTTTTAAATATAAAAAATATGAAATAATTTATTGACAAGTGTGTAAATAATATGAAGTTTGATAAATAAAATTACAAAGATAATACAAAATAATTTAATAATAAGATTGGTTAATTTAATATTTTATAAAAAAGAAAAAGGAATAAATGAATATGTTTTGGGGAATAGGGTAAGTGACAAAGAAAGACAAGGTTAATCATTTACAAAACAAATCAGTGAAAACAATAAGATGCTGATGATGATGAAGCTCAAGAGAAATAAACGGGGCACCTCTTCTCCTTGTAATTGAGCAAGAGGGAACCATCGGGTCCCACGCCCACATCACAGTTAGCGTGCATCGTGTGGCGCTTGCTGTGCCACGTCGTGATCTTGAATCTGATCACTGACGTCAACTCCAAGCGGAACACAACCATACCGTCAGCCCTATCGCTCTGGAACTCCGACCAACGCTGGCTACTAACGGTCAACGTAGCCCCACTAAGATCACCGTCCACTTCCGTCGTGTTCTTAGGCCCTTGATAAAACGGGGAAAGTAACGGCTCCGACCCGATTTTCTGGTCCCGGTAATAAACCGCCCCGTCCATTGACTCATAGTAAACCCCGATGTTCTGATTGGAGTTTCGGGCGGTTACGTTGAAGGTTATCCGGGCATTTTCGATCCCGGATTCTTGGGTCAGACCCGGCATGTTGAATTCGTGGATATGGAACCTGGGCCGGTGGGGCCGGAGGCTGAGCCAGAGGATGAAAGCGATTAGGCCCACAATGGCGAGTAGGCCCAAGAAGGTGGCGCAAATTATCTTGGACACACGGGTTGTGAGGCTATCATGGACCCGCTGGACGTAGTACCGGGCGGAGTGGTGCCGCTTTACGGGTTTCGGTTTCGGACCCGGGACATGGTGAACGGGTATGCGGTCGTTAGCATGCATTTTGGTTTGTTTGACGTAGGAGATGATCGATGATACGTTTCAGAAACGAACTCTTCTGGTTGTGCTTTTGTAGTGATCTTGCAGAGGAAAGAACACACTTTGAGTATGCTACCTCGACGAAGAAAAGAATAAGCTTTCTCTCTTCCATTGCACTTCCTCGTAATTAAGAAAACATTTTTTAATATTCTCAGTTATAGGCTTTGCCCTTTTGCATCTCCTTTTAGGAATTATAATCACACCTTGTTACTTAGAACGTAGCTACTCAAATAATGTAAAACTACGTAACAACTCACATTAACATTATGCACTACTAATTATCTACGCAGAACTAAAGTGGAAATTTTTTAGTGAACTCTGTTTCTTTTACATTTTTATAAATTTGAAAAGTAATCGCTTTCTTATGAACTCACTTTCCCTTAATCCAAATCAAAAGTTTATTTTTCCCTCTAAATGTATGTTGTCAGAGGAAGGATTTGGAATTATGACTCACATTCACGAATGGATAGTTTTTGTTCATTAACTAGGCAAATTTTGAACTTAATCTGCAAAAAGGACTGTTATGATAGCGATCAGTAACTTTGTTTATAATCAAAAGTTAAAATAAAAAATAATTAACATGGTTCTTTATCGTTATCATACCTGCTATACATCTAGCAAGGATATAAATAAAGAATGATAGGTTAATATTATTTGGATGGGAATAAGGTATAAAGGTTTCGTATAATGTCGCATAAAGTATATACGAATTCTAGGCAAGGAGATAAAGGCATGTATTGGGGACCAGACACATAATACATATTATATGTTAGGCTCCCATTTCATATGTTTCCCAATTTTATATTTGTATCGTTGCCTAGCTCCCAAGTCACCAGACACTGATGATATTTACAAATCTAGAACTACATATTTTTCTTACAATTCTAAAAATCATGAACCGGAAAAGGCTTTAAGGTAGAATTATAAACATACGAGGTTGATGCCTTACAGTGATACTGTTATGGTCATCTAGTAAATTAACCAATCTTAATCACACCCACAATCAGAAAATATCAACCAATCTTAATTGTTAGAAAAATGTATGCTACAAAGTGCAAATAAGATTTGTAGCCCCACATAAAGACCCAAAATGTAAAAAGATTTGTGGCCATTTTAGTTTAATAAACTGATTCAAAATCGCTGGCGTGCAATTCCCACCTGTCACATGAGCTACCTGAATTTCATAATAAAAACTTATAAATAACACTCGATAATTAGGGTTCATAAATAACAAACTTAAAAACGCCATTATTTAGGAACGTGGGCTTGATCTTGAGGGGATTCTTGAATTATTAAGATTAGATATTGGCTTTGGATTAAATATGGCTTTGCCACTTCATGTATTGCAGTTGATTTCTTTTGCTTTCTCTCTCTTTTTATGTACGTGAGTTGTTTTCTTGGTCAACTTATGTAGATGGTTGGGTTTTTCCTTAAAACCCCTTAATACACTCATTTCGAATGTTTCCAAAAACAAAATAATGTACTGGATTTTAATTTGATAATAGTAAGCCCAAAATTTTATGGGCTTGAAAAATGGGCTAACAAACATCCCGTGATCATAATGGCATTGGCAATGATTTGATTTTAATTCATTAATAAATTTAAATTTAACGAACCGTATGATGTTAATTCTTTAATACTCTTGGATAACAACATTACATAATAAAATAATGCAATAATTTTCATTTACTAACAGTATCTACTTTCTTATAATTATCTTTTTTATTTAATAGTTTTCTTTTTTTCTTTTCTAAAATTAAATTATAATTCGTGTTATAAAAGAAAGGAATTATATACAATAAGATAATTGAAGAAAAAAAATATTCCAGTAGCTTATCAGAGAGCGTATACATAAGGGCATTCTTCGGAGATATGATTGGTAAATGATTTAATTTATTGGTTATCAATATATTTATTCTTAAATCATCTTATTAAAGGGTGTTATTTGTTTACTTTATTAAATATATTAAATTATATTATAAAAATAAATATTAAATAATTTCTAAAGTTTTAATTTAATAAATATTTTATATTATAATTATCAATGTTCACACTCATTTATTAATTTTTTTCATTATTATAAGTATAACTATTGTATGAAAACCAAGTAAAGCGAATAAATAAAATTATTGTTGAGTGCTATCACTACAAATAAAAAATATATTTACCAGTAGTTATATTGTTAGGCTTGTTTTTGTTGATCTAAATTTTATCTAAAAAATATTAATTTAAATATTATAAATCAAATAATTTTACTAGTATAAGAGACTAATATACCATTACATGATATTGTCATTATAATTCATTTTATTTTAAAAAGTTAAAACAGAAGAAGATTGTAAACCGACAGTTTATTCGCAAATGAAACTATTATTTATTTATTTTCGATGTATATGTCTGTACTTCTATATCTCCTTCATATTTTTCAAATAATATATATTTTAAGAATGTTAGTAGCTATGTCAGATACTTAAACGAACATTCTTACTTAAACTGAAGATCATCAAGACAAGTCCTGTGGTGACCTATGCTCGCAAGATTGACGTCCAATTACTGGTACTCTCCAAATAAACATCAAATTAAGAGAATTAGGATATGTTTGATTTCTCTTTTAAAAAGAGTTTTCTACTCTTTTTGTTTTTTAACTACGTACCTAGGTATTATGTACGTATCAAGCATATCTATATATCAATAAAGGTATGCATGTACGGAAATCTGTGTGTTTCGAATTCAGTAATGCTCAGGAGTATGATCGGTAGTAGAAATGCAAAGACTGGAAGGAAAAAGAGTGAACAATTAATGTAATGGAGATTATGAAGCCATAAGGCTAAAATAAGATTATGCATATGAAGGATAAAATGGTGAATGTTTATACCAAATTACGAGTTATACGTCTAGTCATCTTAACTTGGCTTCGTTCTTCTAAAAGGAATTATATATTCTGTCATGAGGCAACAATGTCCAGTGCAAATAAACCCTATATGTATGTGGTTAATTATTTTTTCACTCCTATTATCACTTTATTAAGTATGCAAGATAGGGTATGGGCACGTGGATTATATACAAGCCAAAGCCTGCAAGGAAGTATCTTGGATCTCTCTCCTTGTGATCTTGCATAATACCACCCACAAGACAATGAGTGGAACAATTATATAAATGGTCACAAATCGCTGCAGGTTCAAAGGCGATATGGCTCAAGAATTACTCAAACTAATCAAGAACTTGTCAAAATCAAGTCAAATTGCGTAAATTTTGGTGATAATGAGAAACCTGTTTGAACATGTATTCTTTTATATATATATATATATATATATATATATATATATATATATATATATATATATAATTTTTTTAAAAATATTCTTTATTATTAACTGAAAATTATTAAAAGTCATAAATTTATGAGCAAGACTTGTTGAATAAAAAAGATTACTCTCATTATTTTGTGTCTCAAAATAAATTTCAATCAGTATTAAAAAAAAATGTTTAAAAAAGTGCATTGGAGCCTTTACCAGTATTACTCTTAACTGAACTAAGACCACATTGATCCTCACAAGGTCACCATTATAAAGTTTTGAAGAGCAATAAACCACTATATCTATGGCAATTCTATACGGTGCTATCGAACATAGAATTAAATCGTCGCATAAGAATACAAACCGCTTTGGCTTCAACACTTTTGTTGGCAAGTGCAATATATTACAGCATACCAAAACATTCCTTTCAGTCCAGTATTGTGAGCTTGTCATCAAGCTTGCAAAGTTATCAAATGCTATATTTTCTCTTTCAGAATGTAATGGAAGTTTGTCGCCTAATATATATAAAGACCTTTCGTCTTGTCTTATATTTCGAACGCATTCGACCTGTGGGTTTGAATTTTAAGGCCTCGCAAGATTATATTATAGTGAGGAGGATAGGCAATGAGTGGTTGGCTCAAACTTGTATGAAGAATAATGGTGTAAAAGACACATTTATTTTTTTACTTGGGACAAATTCGTAGGTTCTGTTATATGAAGAAGTTTTTATTTTGTATCATTCAATCTCTGTTATTCAGTTTTTGTATCATTCATACAAGTATAAACGAATGATCAAAAATAAAAATTAATTAATGTTATATAATAAATTTTAGAAATTATGTGATTTTACAAAAATATCGGTATGATTTTATTTTTAAATTTTAATTTTTATCGTAAAATTTAATATTTAAAATTTTTTATTTCCACCTACATTGATAACGGGCAGCACGAGTCTCCATATTCTCTCCTCTACCATTATATATAATCTTAAGGGTCTTGCTTGACACTGATTAATTAAAAATAAAAAATATTAGAAATTATATTGTGATATATTAAAAATAATAAAATACATATTAATAATAGTTTATAAAAATATTTTAGATTTCTTAACCAAATAACTTGAAGACATTAATTAGTATTTACCTAATTTTAATATCGTCTGTAACTAAATGTCATGTTGTCGTTTATGAAGATCTGGTTCACACAAACCTTTGGTTACTTAGGAATGCAGGTAAAAGCATTGTCTCGATGATTTGAAAGACAGATGGAGATCCTGAAGCATAATTATTCTGGTCCTTTAGCTTTCAACCTTCTCGCAATTACAAGAGGATGATTATTATTATTATGTATTATGTATCCTGTAACATCAAAACCTCATGTCCAAGTGTCCATGTTCATATGGTGCAATGTAGACATTGCTTATAAGAGATGGACGTCTCATATGTTCAAAGATGACGTAATCAAGATAGAAATGGGATTTTGATTGGGAAGCTTAATTACTTGAGACTACAAATTATACACCGAACACAAAGCTTAAACGTGCAACTTGAACACCAATTGGTGCCTTCTTAATTTCTCATTCTAACAAAAAAGCACGTCACCGTCCCTTTCCCTATAATCTACTTTATATGTAGACATATGTTGGTGGGTGATGAATATGTCATTATATTAATTGTCGAGTTTAAAAGAAGGGA